AGAAATAATTTTAAATTCACCGAAACTGTCAAAAGTATTCAGTAAATTAACAGGAACTGATCAGGAAGTGGAAATTACAGACGCGAATAATTATACAAGTGAAGATTTGAGCCCTGAAATGCATACGCAGTCAAATCCTTTGATAACGATGGCTGAAGATAAACAGGTAATATTATAAAAAGAAACATTATACTTGATAAATTTAGAATTCATCTTTGGCTATTTTGATATATGACAGTGAAATTCACTAAGTATGTGGTGGATTTTGTTTTATTTGAAACTATCCCATTTGAAATGTTGTCTAGAAAGTAATATTATGTTGTACTAAAAGCGAAATGACTCTAATCTTCAGCATTAATAAATTTTTGTAATTCATACAAAAAAGAATATTTGACACTGCATTTTTTGTTTGCCTAGATAGCTTTATGAAATATATGTTAAGTGGACAAATCTACCACCTGTACAAAATGTTCGAACCACAACCCACTAAAATTTTCTGTCAAAACATTGTAACCAACTGTTACAAATTTTTCAGTCCTCGTTTTCGCATTGTGATTACGTTCGGAATTTTCCTACATTAACAATTATCTCACAGAATATCATACTCATGAAATACTTCAATTTATTCTGCTTTTATAGTACACATAATTTATAAAAAAAACACTAGTCATTCATCTTATTTATTTAACAGTTGCTATGATTAATTTGTTAAGAAATATATTATCTGATCATTTATTTCCAGACTTTAGAATCTGTTAGTCGACATTTATTCGGGATGAAATGTCGTTATGTATTGGTTGAACACAAAGATTCAGTAACGTGCCTCTTAAATATAAATTACAAGATGCATCCTATTCACCAATGGATTCTGGTAATTTGCTTTTGTGTTTTGATAGAAATTTTACTGACGGTTCAGTCTCGAAATGTGGAGCGTACAATGTTATTTATGTCATACTCCTATAATTTGAAACGAATCTCAGTTTTTAACCAGTAATCTGTGGGTATATTAAGTGTACGTGTATATTATTTTATTAAGTGAATAAGTGCACAAAAGTTCAGTTAATAGGAGACAAGCAATAAATTTTAGTTGAACACATGATATTATGCTCCCTCTAAAACTGAATTACTCGAAAATGTTCAGATACTTAAGACTATTCTGGAGAATCGACTGCTTAAATCATTCAAACAAAGTTCACAAGAAGCTTACCATCCTAATACTTACAAAACAGCATGTCAAACTTTGGAAACATTTATGTAACATACTGAATTAATCCATATAGCATACTGCATCCTTTATCAACTAATAGACACATATAATTATATAAATTACTTCCGTATACTTTTTGACAGATAAGAAGGGTAGTAATTTAGTGCACAACTAATTCTTTGGTCATAAAGTAACTTAGTAATTTTAACATCTTCGAAAAATAGTTACTTCAAGATTAGTTTATGAAAATAATTACTGTCCAAATGAATTGTCATCAGGGTATAAGTACACATTCAGAATATTAAGCTTCTTCTCCTCAGATATTCAAGTGCAATATTTTGCTTTTATTTCTGATATTTTAAAGTATCTTATCCTGATTTTTTTCAAGGAATATTTAGTGAAATTTTCAGTTTATAAAGGACAATTTCATTTTTTTTCAGCAAACTGAGCTGTAGGCCTTGAGTGAATATCGATGACATGGTTCAAACATGCTCAGCTGATGTTCTAAACTAGGATTGAAGCGTATGACTATTAAAACATCATATGGAACAAAAAAGTGTCCGAAATTTTATGTAAGGCTTCCTATGCACGTTTTAATGTTACACGACTCAAATACGAGACTTTTCTGTAATATATATATATTTATATATTATATATTTAAATATATTAACCATTTAAAACAGTTTACTATTTTTGCGTTTAACATGTAATCCATTGGACTTTATAGGAAAGCTTTACACATATAACTCACAGAATATTCCAGTTAAATATCTAATAATTCTGGTTTTTTATTAGTTTTGTTTTTGACATTGATTTCTACAGAATACTGCATTCAGTTTCAATAGCGATCTCCAAATGTTTGTTTTGAAAAGAAATGTTCATTTTCTGTCAACAAAGTTAATTACTATTTACTTATCAAAAACTAATTCATTCATAATAGGTAATCTGACCAATGACTGACGAATGGTGAACCACTATCCGTTCTATTTTTTACTTTAATACCAATCTGCATTGATTTAACTGCATTTAATCAAAGTCATCATATTATGAAAACTACTAAGCAAATAATGGAATGTATGACTGCTTTTTCCACTATTTACTGAGTTTTACTATTTGATCAGACTGATTAATTTAATAGCTTTAAAAAATTGTATTGATACAGCTTACTTCTGGATGGGATCGTTGCATATGTATATGGAATTTAAAATCGGGCAAATTAATCGATAAATTCTTCGAAACACAATGTTTGGATCAAAAACTTGGCCAGAAAGCTTCCAAAGGCGCAATACTAGACATGGCATATAATCCTGAATTGTGAGTAGATCTACCATTATGATTTTGGATTTCATAAATCTAACATCACATTGAATTCAAATAAATTACACTGATGCTACAAGTTGACAATTTAACCAGTGTCTTAAACTGTATTTCAATTTAATGTGCACAGTATTCAAAAGTCACCTTTAGAAATAAATTTCCTAAGCTTCAACTTATTTAGGATGATGAACCAGGATGGCTCAGTGAATAGAAATTGGAAATGAACCACTGTCCATTGCTATACGTCTACAAGTAATTTTTCAGCTGACATTTATTCGTGATGAGAATAAATTTGAAGTGTATGAAGTCTTTACAAAACCATATAGCTCTGCTATTTTGCAGAAGGTTCTAAGTAATAGTTTATAACTCCTGACAGACAAAGGTAAGTGGTAGTTAGCGACAGTAACGTAAGTCATCTCACTTTTTCGATTCATATATATAGATACTTAGTTCACTGACTGTGAACGAAACTGGCTTCGACATCACATAACTTTGATGTTAGCTTTAGATTTTAATGGAATTTACTTTAATCTTTGGTGATATACAAAATAAAAATGATGTCAACTCTTTTAACAAAATGATATTTCTTTTATTGAATTTTGATACCACCATTTATTTGAATGCAACAAAGTAAGGATAAATATTATTATTCAGTCACTAATAAAATGGTTATGTTTTTCAAATATTAAATATTATTCAGAATAATGCTCAATAAATTACGGCAGGATATTGGCTAAATCCGCAATTATTTTTATTACAGTGCAAACAAAATACCGTGAATCGAGCTCTTATTGTCCAATTTCGACTATGTTTTTTCAAATTATGTATCTAATTCAGAAGCAACATTCTTCCAGAAATGTCTTTCAAAATTACTATTATTAGCTCTTTTCAGTTTATAGAAATCACATAGAACGGATGTTATCTTTTATTAACAGAGCAAACTACATCAGATTGTTAGGTTTCATAGAACCGTTTCCTCTAGTGACGTAAACTAACTTTGAAATAGTTAGCTTACTATTCAGTAGTCAGATGTAGTAAGATGTTGCCAGTTAGATCAACCATGAATAAAAATTATGGTAGTAAAGCTTTATTACAAAGTTACTTATGTCGAACAGTGTGGAAGACTGCATTTAGATTTAGTAGGTGATTGATAACGAAATTATCAAGAAATTTTTTAATTTGTAAGCCTTGTTCTATTTTGAACGGGTACTATTTAGAAGTTATAGACTAAGACAAGATATAAATTTTAAATCTCCTTTTTTATTTTATAGTATATTCTGTTTGCTAAAAGCAGTTTAACCAAACATTAACTAAATTGACATAGTTTTTAAAAGATTAATTAAGTTCAGGAATCATGTCAAAAGACGTAAGTGATTTCTTTCTTTGTATCACAGTAAAAATTAAATTTCAATTATGGTTATCAAAGATTCCTTTAGACTGAGCGTTAGTTGTACTGTACTACTGTTCATGTTAAACTGATATTGACATGTGTTACATAAAAATGAGTTAAATAATAATATAATTTAAAAGTCCACTTTGTAAATAAACAACTGATGCACGACTTGTTTATCTATTCCTTCTTTTTAATTTCTTTTCTGATCAAAAAATATCAATCTAGAAATATTTTTGCATATGCGTGCTCTGATTGCCTCATCTATGTTCGCAAATTTTCTTTAAATGGGAATGAAATGCACTTGCAAACAAAATTAGTTGGACATAATGGACCAGTAAATTGTATTGTATTTAATCCGTCAAATGTAGAAAATGGTAATCAAGGTGAATGGATAACTGGTTCCGATGATTGTACTATTCGTATATGGGTGAGCAGCATATATGCGGCAAAATGTTCATGTTATCTTTTTAACTAATGTGCTAGGTGACTGAAGGTAGCTAGTAGGAGACCCAGTACCTGGGTTTCGTGCTAGTTGACATTATGATCTCAAGTCCGGGAGAAATCTGTGATAGTTTACAAGGCTAGGAAGCTGGGTGAGTCGGACTCGAACTCCACAAGGAGCGTTAGCTCTTTTAGGGTTGCAGGTATGTTCTATCGTCAACTAGCATGAAGCCTAAATACACGTTTTCCTCCCGACTACCATACATTGAAGAATGATTCAGCCCATATCGAGTCACTTAAACTACTGGCAACAAAGCAACTCGGTCCATAAAATGCAATCAAAATAAAATACTGACCATTCATCAATCAATACATTTAAAAGTGTTTGAAAATTTATCTACAGGAATGCTGCACAAGAAATTATTCTCTTGAAGTAAATTAATAAATTACGTAATACATTTACGAACCTGTATAGACCTATACACTATGAAATTTCAAACAGTGTGTTTGTTAACTGTTAGAGTCGAATTTCAATGTGTAATACTTAAATGACAAAAACAAATTATCGAATTTTAGTCACAGATTTCAGCTAACCAATATTTTCTAAATTATGTTATGTCAAATACAAATACAGATATTTACCAGTTTAGGATCTAAGATAATTCTGCCACTACTTTCCAATTATCACAGTTATACTATTTTGTCCGAAATTTCCTCGACACACTGTTGATGCCCCGAGTAATGGATAATCTTCACTTGGTGCTTATGCAAAGGTTGTACAGGTAGAAACAATATGAGACAAACTACAGAAAACTATAAAATATAAATTTTTAGAAAACAACCGTTACTTATCTGAATATTTTAAAGTAATTGTACTGTGCAAATAGTTGAATTCATGGTTGAGACTTTGGTTTGCTGGTGCCTCTGCTAAAATGTTTAACTACAAACAATTGAGACTTCTTTTAATAAGAACGGAAATTAATGTATGGCTGTTAATATATATATATGGTACTTTCAGGATAGGTTTATATTCAGACACCATGTAGCCTTGTGAAGAAAGAAAATTACCAACGTGGTAAAAATCAATTAGGAAATGTCCAAAGTTGTGTAGAAATATCATTCAGGAAAAATGTTATGGCTGTTATAGTTACAAACATTAACAAAACTCTTATACATTATTGTCCTCGTAGAATAAGAAACACTTTGATGACAAAAAAAGAGTTGGTAAACAATGATTTCGTAGGAAGCATTCTTCTTCATTAATAATTCATTTAATGACTAAGTGTATCAGTTTTTTTCCTAATTTTTGCCAGTCGGATTTTTAGTTTGTCATACAAATAAACTCGTATTATTATCACTTCAAAAATTTTATGGCAGTGTTCGAATAAACTAAAAAACATTTGATGGCTAATTGTCAAAGTTCATGATTTTACGGAATTTGTACATTAAAGTTAAGTTATTTTTTGATAAAGTAACATCCTCATTTTTTTTTCATTTAGAAAACAGTGAACGAAGGAGAAATATGTCGATTAACCCTGAATGCAAATGGTCCAATAACGTGTTTTCGTTTAGATTTTAAACGCAATATTTTACTTGCGGGAGTTGATAAAGAAATTAAGTAAGCACATTATTCACTTTTGGCACAGACAATAACTGAGTGAACAGTAAATCTATTGTCTCTCATTTGCATTTTCAAATGTTAAGTGTTCAATTAGACAGTAACTTAGGTCCATAAAAGTGAAAGTTTTTTTGAATAGAATACATCTGATAATAGAACGTACATTTCGAAACAGTCCTCACAGGATCCGTGTATGCTGAGAAAGATCGGCTAGTCAATTGGAAGATCCAAACGGCCAATATATGAATGTGGATATTGCATCGCAAACTCCAAACAATATCATCATAGTTTTTCAAATGCTAGATTGGAATTCAATCACCCAGAATATTATTCAATGGTATTTTCGACAAGTTAATCATATATAATTTTGATAGAAAATTAGTAGCTTCGACGCCAAATCAGTAAATATATATTTTGAAGTCTGTTAATATCTTAAAAGCCTCTGGAGTCTAAAGGCCAATGGCCAAATTTGGAGATAGTGATTTTTTAGCCTTACGAAAACATCCTTACGTTGTTTGACTTTTATATGAATTTCACATTAAATAAAAGCTATTTTCATTCCATCACGTTTCACTGTTTACCGTATATTCATCTCAAGGTTATAAATATTTTTTTAATTGTTTACTGTGATACTGAACTGAATAGACACACACCAACATGAATATTAAACTAGATGATAATTCTCACGATCAGTCATTTTTTGCTTGTCGGTAAATTTTAATGTTCTTAAGTACTATACAATGTATAAATCCCGCCTTCTTCCATAATTCTTGATCTTTAAGTATAAATATTCTAAAGATTCAAAAGTAACCAAGATGAAAATAAACTATACAACACTCACGATTATCTTAACCAAATCAATAAATTTTTTAAGCACTTCATCATGTGTTTTGTATTGCAGGATTTATGACCTGCTAACTGGACACGTTTATCGAAATTACAAAGGTCATCAGGATGTAATCAGGTCTATAATTATATTAGCGGAAGAAGATGAGGTAAGTTCATACTTCCAGGTGTAAGTTACACTGTTGGAATATCAAGTAGACCTACATTATAACGAATACAAAACACATCCGGACTAATGATAACTTGCTCCTAACAAACCTGGTTCCCAATCTCAAAAAACTTGACTGTGGTTATAGGCAAATAAGCCAAGTCCAGAACAAATACCTGTCTTTATATATTAGCGACTGTATGTAAAATTTGTCATAGTAATATGGTCCCTCCATGTTTAACATGATTTTTGGGAATAAATGAGAGCAGATAACTTCAAAGGTGCCGTGCCTTATTCGAATGACAGTGAGAGATTTGGATTTTGAGCGATAATAGCTAAGTTATCATACTTCCGAATTCGCCGACTAAAGATAGACTAGCTAACTAGCTGATTACTTACTACGGCTACATTTCAAACGGTTGGTTAATTGATTTAAAACGCAGATATCCGAAACCTAAAGAAATCGCATTCAGATAATTTATTGATCCCTAATGTACAAAAAAGCTTTTATTTAATTCAGAAGCTTGAATAAAATTCAATTAGCGAGGCGTGAACTACGCTTCGTGAAAGTTAACAATGATAGGCAAGGTATAATCAGTATCCGAATGACGCTGATGCTCGCCCTCTGAGAATCAATCACGTGTCACACAGCATTAATGTTTTGTGGAAGTTTCCCATGGTGGATAAAATCTATTGTTTTTCAACCATTCTAACAAAACTGCAGTACGTATCCGCAAGCGCTGATGGTCAAATCCGTATATGGAGTGCTTGGAAGGGTAGCCGTAATCAACCAACAATAATTTCAACAGATCAAGAATCAGCACTTGCTGCGGCCCAATTGGCAGCGGTTAAATTATCCCTAAATCCAGCAGCATCACTTGGAGCAGCCGCAAGAGCATTCAGTAAGGCAGGACGATTCAGATGCATTGTTGAATGCCTAATGAAACATCAACGTGTGGAATAAATAATACGAGCATTTCTTACCGTAATCGGAACATCCAAGACATTTTCCAATATTTTGTATTGCTTTACTCTTTAAACAGTAATTTTTTTACATCGAATACGATTTTCTAAACAGATTTTATGTAACTCCTCAAATGAATTCGTATACTCGGGCGACGTGTGAACTATACACTGAAGTGAAATACATTTATTCAGGTTTATTTGACTAGTGCATGTACTATTGCTAATATTGTAGATTGTGGCAAGTATTCCTCCATTCATTCTGGTGATCAGTCACTCGGTAAAACTGTTCATAATTATTCGAGAACTACACGTGCGAAATCGATCCTAAGATGCCATACACTTACCAGCAGTAAAATAAATGGAACCACATTCTAAAGAAAAGTGAAGAGCAAAAATACGACAGATAAATAAATAACTACAGATGAACGGAAACTTCTGCACAATAGGGATACGCTGATAATTAAAAGTATTTGAAGACTGACTTGCCAACTAAGAATTTTCGGAATGGTCCAGCTTAAAGCAGACAGTACTAGTTAAGTACAAATGAATGTATTATATTTGGGATTCGCAAACAGCACCCAATCCAGTACATAGCAATCCCTACTTAGTATATGAATAAGAGATCTTTGAATTTGTGCGCTACACTTCGCGCTTCGACTCTATCGTTGACAAGTTATCAAGCATTACATTACAACCGTCACTCATCAATTAGGGAAGTTTTTCTCAATCCGTTCTAAATCTTACAGACCCATGGTTATAACCGAATATTTATCATCTCGATTCAGCAAATTACAACACTCAATAATAGAAAGTTACTGATCAGTAATACTCGAAACGAAAATTTTATTAGGTTAAATTAGTGTTGTGATTTATTGGCTTCAATGTTAAAATTGAAATGATGGATATGTTACTACTAGTATCAACAACTGGAAAAAATAAACGCATTGAATATGAAGTGAACTATTCGAACTTTTAATATAGGGTAGCGTGTAATTATTAGGACTTTTAGAGCAAAAGGATCTAAAATATATAATCCATTGTCACTAATGACAAATGTACGATATTATACCATACTTGTAGCATCCAGCATGACAAAATGCACCTGAAAGAAGTGAATAAATTCTGCATTGTGATACAAAGTTACCGAACTTTCGTTCACCTCATTTTTTGCTTTGAAATTGTTTCTAATATTTCCAGGAAAAGGGAGATACTTGTTAACTAAACGCCTATGACCTTGAAAACCCATCAGATTAGGATGACTAAGTAACGTAGACGAACTCCTTGTATGGAGTCAGTTTCATACACCGCCTTATAATAATAAGTGAAGTTTCAGTATCTCGAAAAGAACACTTCGGTATTTGGAGAATCCCACTTTCCATTTTGGGTACGTTGATTCCTGCAATTAATCGATCACTCGACTGAATATGAATGTGATCATCAAAGTAACACTTGGTGGACTGTCTCTACTATTGAAGGATAACTCCTACTCCCTGGTCATTTAAATGAATTATCCAATGAAATTTTGCTCTTTCACGCATACGAAGTTTGTAGTGCTTTTGTCTCATGTGGAAGTGGAGTAGACCTACAAGGAAAGGCCGAATCTTTCGCCAAACTGTAGGCACAGAGACACAACTAAATCCTTGTTTACATCTTACCTGGTCATACTCTAGATTTAAAAATTTTCCATGTAATCTTCGAAGGCGCCAGAATTTGAAACTAAACCCACCTGTACAGTTACAGGCTCCCTTGCACATTCAGTATGATGAATAAAAGTATTTGGACTGAGTTGCTAAGAATTTTCGAGAAATTCCAGTTTAAAACAGGTAGAACTATTTGAGCACAATAAAGCCCATAAAATTTGTTACTCGCGATAAGCGAACAATTCAATACAAATCATTCATTACTAAGTTCACATATCAAAATTTCGCTACATTTTTACAAAAATGCTTAGTCTGTAAGTTTCTTCGTACTGTCTTACCAACGTCTATGTGATAAACAGGGAACCTCGATAGAAAGTGTTGAAACTTATATGGTCATCTGATATAATGAGGGTGTGAGGAAGTCCAGTACATTTCCAACTGAAAAACACTTATTGAGTTGCAGTGTAGATTCTGGAGAAGGTTACTGAGAAATGCATGTTAACAGAGATACAGGAAAATGAATACCTCTATTTTTTTATTACAACATATCCTCGGCCGCTGAGGATAAGTTGACAGGAAAAAGAATTACACTGAGAGTGACCGATTCCACTGGTGCGATTTCGCTAAAAGAATCCGGTAAATATTCCACTACGACTAGTTTACCTAAAGAATATTAACGAAAATAATTGAACGTAGGTTGTTTAATCCAAAAATCAGGACTGGTATATTCTCAAAGTTTAAGGTAAGAAAATGAGTGTATACACCAACGCCATTGTGATCGATTCTGAGCCATGTCACACTGATGTTAGTGATTTCAAGGACCGATGCCACATTTTGGTTTGATCGCCTCTTATTTTCTTACAACCATCGCCAATAGTAGTCAGCATAACGCGTCGTGATAATCGGTGTTCAGGCTTGCGTAACACGTGACCAAACTATTACAGTTGGTGAAAATGATCAACATCTTTAGCTGATTTATCATCATTTCCCAATACCCTGCATACAACCTCAGTATTACTTACCCGGTAATTGCAACAGTTGCGAGCAAGATACCTAAGACATCTGTGGTCAAATACTAGTAACTCACGAGTATCTTCTACCCTTAATGTCCACGTTTCTCAGCTGTAAAGTAGAACAGAGCGAACTGCTACGCACTATACTTGTCCCTTAATTGATAGACGGATATCTCGTCTTCACCATAGGTGACGTAAGTTGGCAAATGCCAAACGAGCTTTTTGAATCCGTGCTGAGATTTCGTCAGACATCAATCCATTAGGACTGATCAGACTTCCAAGATATGTGAAGTTGTCGACGAGTTCGACTACTCCACTCCCTCTCCTTAGTTCAGGTGTTGACGCAGGTCAGTCCTGGAATGACAACTTGCATTTGGAAGGAAAGAAACGCATTCCGAACATCCTGACATTGTTGCTCAGTGCTAACATAATGCTTTGCATTTTATCAGCGTCTTCACCAAACAGAACTATATGATCTCCGTATTCTAAGTCGATTAGTGGACCCCCTGGTAGATCGATTCCTGTAAATTCAGTTGCAGAGTGTTATTTGCAGCAGTAGGTCTATAATGAAGTTAAACAAAATTGGAGATAGTGGACAACCTTGTTGGACAACACTCGGAGTTGTAAAATCAGATGACAGTTCGCCATAAGCTCTCACTCGACTGGTAGCGTTCGAGTAAAGAACCTTTTTCAAGGTTTATGTATTTCTGAGGTACACCTTACTATAAAATCTATTTTGAAAGTTTTGTGTTGGAAAACCCCTCCTTGTATACACTGGTAATTTGTTCCAATTGATTCCTTCAGTTGTATATTCTGTTAGTCTGTTTTATTCCATCTGAGATGGTAATATATATATATATATATATATATATATATATTCTATTGTGGTTTCTATTTTATTTTACGTTTTCATCGGTTTCTATGTCTTTTTCAGAAGTGTATTCATGTTGTTCTAATTGATACTTAGTCTTAGTTCGTCCCACCTTTGATTGTATTGCTTGGTTTGGTTGAGATTGTTCATCTTTGATTGTGAATTGAAGCGCTTGGTGAGACTATAGTTTACGGATGACCCTTGAGTGATGCTGAAGTGCCTGTGAGAATAGACACGTACTTGTTAAAACTGAGGGTTACAAACCATTTAGAAAGAATTATGATTTACAGTTGATTGTAAGGGTTAAAATTAGATTCACGGTTTTCATCAACTATATTGCCAATGAATTCCGCGCCGAAATTCAAGACTTGTTAAATTGTATCTGATTGTTTCGTCCACAAATTACAGTCTCGCCAAGCACATTTCTAGAATTGGAAACACTCTGGGTTATATCGCAACCTGATATCATCTGTTGAAAGGATCTGTACGTGATCTATCCAGAAACGATAGATTAACATGTATTTTTCCCACTTGGTAATTATCTATTAAGTGTAGCACATCCCTGTTTTCCGGATGGAAAGCATATATACAGTAAAAGTAAGGGTGTAGAATGAGATCTTTATAAAAAAATCCCACTCCAACCTGCAGTAATCACACATTAATGAGGTGGAACATTGACCGGAAGTACTGTGTACGACATGCTTTGTGGATATTGAGAACGTTGTGACTAATCCCAACTATTTAGATTATGCTTAAGATTCTTTGGAACCTAATCCTCAACTGTTAGGAACATACCGTACAAATTGTGATTTGTACAGTTAATATATTATTGGCTTCCTTATTGTTTCTTCGTATTAAAAATAAACGTAAACAAAAACACTTGAAAGTTTAGTGATATAGTTAAGATAAAGAAACAGAAACTTGACATCAATTCACTGGATAACGATAAGAACTCAAAGTAAAAAACGTCACAGATCTTCTTGAAGCTGGTGAAAAATACATTCATGTAACACATATATTTACAAAAAAAGAATTGTAGGTGATTAAATGTACAGTACAAATAACAATAATAAGTATCATATATAACAACTAAACAAAACATCTCTTTGATCATTTAATCATAATAGTAAATCATTATTTCATACACAAAGAAACTGGACTCCTTAACTGTGTGTGTAAAGAAATCTGTGGAACCAAAGTATGTTTGGAACTGGTGTTGTAGGACTATGTTGTTTTACAACTGAAAGGAAGTTGACCAACGGTAGCACATCATCTTAAAAAAAGTAGAATCACATGTGAAACTGTAATTTAGCTAATTAGCATTCAAAGTAATAAAATTGTAGAGACGTGTTCTACGAGCTGGATTGTTTTTATGGACATCATAAACATTATAAGATCACTTCTTTTTAATATATGTGCTATTGATGTCATTTAGAAAAATCATCCACTTCGAAGAACACTCACAAGTCAAACCGTGACGTAAGTTCAAATACAAATAAGTGCTGCCAGCCAACAACTACGTACATTACGTTTTGGGGGATGTGATGAGTCACAATGAAATGGAGTATATTTGGATCAACACCTTGTTTGATCCAAAGGTTATTTAAATGGACAAAGAAACATTGAAGTATGTTTGATCAATAGGTGGTTTTATTGAGCCAAAGAAACACATACGTTCATATTCTCGTGCAAAAAATTAACCTAATTATTGTCTCTAACAAACAACAGCGACGAGGTAAAATACTGGAAGTCAAATGTCTTACCGAAAATGTGGAGAAAGATAAAGGTAATCCCTATACCTAAGAAGGCTTCTGGTGATAAAAATGCGAAACTTAGACCCATAGCAATAACCTCACATTTCCTCAAAATAATGGAAAAATTACTGATACAACCACTTTAACCTGTAATAAAAGAGCACTGTGATCCATATCAGTTTGCTTACAAATGCAAAAGAAGCACATTAGATGCCGTTGCTGTTCTGCATCACAATATAGTGTTTGGGTTGGAAAAGGGTAAGAAGTATGTTAGATGCGCTTTCCTGGACTTTACTTCTGCTTTTGATTCTATTCCAAGACACCTCTTACTTAACAAGCTGATCAGCGTCGATACTGACAGCTGGATAACCAATTGGCTACGCTCCTACCTTTCTGGAAGAGAACAGTACACTGTCTTTGAAGGAAAGTGTTCAACATCTCTACTGTCTACTGTAGGTGTGCCACAAGGAGCTGTTCTTTCACCTCTACTCTTCTCTTTCTTTTTGCATGATCTGCCATCTTCCACAGAAAACACTTTTGTAAAATATGCGGACGACCTCACCGTATGTATGCCAATTTCTACCTCCTTACATCCTATAGAAATGAATGAGTTTTTATCTCGTATTGAAAGGTGGTCTGTTGGTAATGGTCTCTTACTCAATCCATCTAAATGTCAAGCTGTTAATTTTAGCTTGAGACATGGACAGAACCTACGCTCTATTTTGGGATCCCATAATGCTTGTGCCATTGGAGACTCCTTAATAAACACAGTGTCGAAGGTCAAATATCTTGGTGTTATTTTTTCCTCTGATCTTTCTTGGTCTTCTCAGGTTTTGCTGTTATCGAAAAAAGTTTACCGTTTGACATACTACATAAAGAGGCTGCATGTTTTTTGGGATTACTCGCCATTTACTCTTACAATTTGTAAATTCCTGCATATTACCTATTATTTTATATTGTTCTCCATTATTCTTTCCTGGACTTTTGAGAAAAGACTTTGCTATTTTGCGTAGAGTGCTGAAGGCAGTTTGCAAGGTATGTGGTGAATCTTTTGAAGTCATTGTTAATATGCTTGTGGATAGACATCTTAAGTCTTGCAAACTCTTGGCAGGTGTTATCTTATCAGATACTAACCATCCGCTTCATTCATATCTTTCTCCTTGTATATCTTCTGGTAGAACGAGACGTAAATACATTAAAATTCATGCACGCAAGCAAATCTATAAAAGTTCTGTAATACCTTACTTAGCTAATTTACTTTGTGATGAACAGGCTGTTAGAGTTGACCTAGTAAATAACCTGTCTTCTTAAGCATGTCTCATATTCGATAATTTGTATAAACTCAGATTTTCTTAAACCTTTTTTATATTTTATTTCTGTTTTTTGTTGTTGTTTGTTTTTTTGGTTTTATTTTTTGGGAAAAACTTGTTGAAATAACTCGTGCTGAGAATTCTTTATTGTACCAGATTATAATATAGAATAAAGCCATTAATAATAATAATAATAATAAATCAATTTACTAACCTTTAGGTAAATGAGGTAACAGAATAGTATAATCAGGTAAACTGAACCACAATCGGAATGCCTTCACTAGTTTGGATTGGAATGTATTATGCTGATTAACAATAGTTGTAACATTGGATACATCAAAGTAGTAATTCTTCAAACCAACGGAAAGCTCTAGAATGAGAAAATGAAATTTAAATCAACAAGCTTCCTTGGTAACTTTTAACATGCTTTTATTTCACCCGAAATAAATTATGAAGTGAGACAGACTACATCATAATTGTTTGTTAAGTTTTAAGCGGGAACGCAGCTTTAAAACGTCACAACTTTCTTCTGCCGCAAGGAGCGCTCAAGTTGAACAAGGAAACATTTGCAATAATAAATCCAGTTAGAAACATTAATGAAAAATGATATGGCAATATGCAAACTTGTGTAGAACACAGCAAAAATGAATCACTGTATAGAGGATTATCGATAATATTCAATTTTTTAAAACCATGATAAATAGAACGAAATGCACAATAATTAATTGGAAGGACAAGTATTTTCATCAATGAGAAATATCATCAATTAAGTTATATGCAAACAACATAAATATAAGCAGTGTTTACCATCTTTATGTTTTATAAAGTTTTGAGTAACCCGCGCAGCTAAAATACGTCCCAAATCAGAGCATGATGATAACGATGGAGATAACTTTCCAATATGTTCGTGACCAGTTGATACAGTCAACTTGTTTGATGAAAACCGTTTCAAAAAAGTGACTAACAGCTTTAATTGTTTCAATATGGATAAATCCAACCACTGTTTCAAACAATCTTCGAGCTTAAAACAAAAAAGAGTAGAGTAATAAATTATTACTTTCACTGCCATTGACAATCTTTTCAAACTGTAACCAGCACTTAAGATTAGATCTCACAAAGTCGGGTTAAAACCTGACAAATGACAAAAAAATAACCACTAGTAGGTATTTCGGCTTCGGTTTTCATAATCGACTAGATAATCAAAAAAGAAAGACGCTAGAAGTATTTTAAAGTAATCACGCTGAAAGGCAAAGCAAAGTAGGATGTTCAAAGTTTTAGACTACAAATTACCCATTTGATTTTGTATTCTAGTATATGAAGAAGCAAATTAGGAATGGGCGCATGATCGAATTTAAGTCGTAGTTACATAGTCCCTGAATTTCAGCAATTCATCACAGTACATAAACAACTCAAAATTGAATTTAATATAAACATAAATAGTTACAATGTCTGACTAATTTTACTAAAACCTAATGGAAAATGATATACTCAAGTTTTGTAAAACAGAGCTTGAGTTTGATAGGTTGCAGAAGGTTTAATAACTGATCAATATACTTTCGATAATGCCTAAGAGCAACGACAATGTACTAAATTTCAACTCTCTCTTAACGCGTGGTCATCTCTAGCGAACTCATATACTGTTAACGACAAGTTAAATCAGTCATTCAAAATATAAACTTAGTATTATATATATATATATATATATATATATATATATATATATATATATATATATATATATATATGACTAGAAAGAATGTTGGTCAGTTACCCATGATTGCAGAACATTCAACTCTTCTCCTTCATCTCGTTGTTTAACAAAAATATAGCCAGCTTTATAAAATGTCATTCTGTAACAAAAATAAAAAAATGCAACAATAATGTATAGCGAGTGCACACTAACTTAACATTTACTTATGGAAAAACGAATTCTTACTTAAAGAGATTCCAATTATTCGTCCCATGATAAAAAACAGTAGGCCAATATTTGTTGGAATTATGATTGATTTCAAGCTGAAATAGTGGAAAATCCCAATAATTAATGAACATTTGAAGAAATCATAGGTCCAAAGTGAAACTTATTGTTTGAAATCTGTCATAAAACGATTTTCAGAAGTATACAATCAATAATTCCATTACACAGAAGTGAAGACGGAAATGCTTCAGTAGTTAAAGGTCTATGAATTTCGTATAAGTCTAATTAGACACCAACATCTCCAAAAGAATAACCTAGAAAATATTTATGACTAAGTTGTGCAAAAGAACAAAAACAACATTGAATAATATACCAGTCATGTTAGCGAGTGTTACCATTTACTCAAATTTGACTGTAAAAATCTGAAAGGTCATCTATAATAGGAAGATTAATATTCAATCAGATAAATTAGGTTTAGTAAATAAAATCATATTAGGCTATAATCCATAATTATTTCGGCATGGTAAATGAATAAGATATTAGATTGAATAGTTTTGGAAAGTAACGTATTTTTATCCTTCTTTCTTTGTGTGAGATTTACATAGCCCATAAGATCTGAATGGAGGGGATTTAAGCTTAAAAGGTGGGATAACAGATGTGAATAAAAGAAATATGGGGCATCTCTGATAAAAATCACGACAATGATAGTTTGCAGCAAAGAATTGCAAAACAGTGAGTTCACAGCTAACTAGAATAAAAACTAAACATGCTAGTTGATGTTAAACACTATCACACAAATCAAAATAGTCCCACCTTGTCCTGTGGATTAAGCACTCCTATGTTTTACGCCACATAGTTTCACATGCGAGCGGTTTGTTTTCCAAAAATACTCACTAGCTTAAAAAATACTGCGATCGGTTAGAATCCTGTCATAAAAGTTAGATTTGTCCGGTAAGTTTGAAGAAATCAAGGAAATTCCAACTCAAATCCTGAAAAACACATGGTAATGAACTTTCTGAAAGTTATTCGAGCAAGAAGAAGTTTACCTGGACTTTAACAACAAAAAATTTAATTTACCGGTTTAACTTACCCAAGCTATGTTTTCTAATACATCAGATGGGAAGACAAAAGTATCTTCTGATGAAACTATAACATCGGATTCCTGCAAGTATAATAGAGATAAATTGATTTAATGTTTGATAAATACTAAATACTACAACTATGCGGAAGCATAGTGTAAAACAATTGCATTTCAAGTCTAGACCTTGATTTAGACTAACATCTACATAAGTGTATTTCGTGTAAAATAGTTCCAACTAACTCCGAGATAGGTGGACATAAAAAACAAATACACATAGAAAGACTCATGTGAACGTCTACTTAAAAAGACTTACACGAAGTTTGGCCTCGAAATTAGATAGAACAACACGACCAGTATCAACATCTACAGCACAGACGCGTCGAGGTATGGTAGCGAGAGCATAAAAATGACGAAGAGCTTGTAAATGATACCTGGAAAAAAATAACATTTCCGAAAGAATTAGTTCAGTAATCAACTTAAAAAATTTATTCTTCGGTGAAGTCATTTACTTAAGCTGTACATTTGTATTTATAGAGGTTTGATTATTATATAATTCCATAAAAGCGATTGCAGGCTCGAAAGCCTGGCTTTTAGAAAGATTTAAATGTGAGTGCTGACAATACTAAAAGTAATGAAACAATAAGATCAATTTTTTAAATACATATTTCGTAAATCCTGCCAAAAATAATCTAAAACACGTGTAACTTTATAAAATGTTGTTGTAGGGGCTTGAGGGCTATTTAGGTAAAACTATACATGTATGGTCAGCTTACCAATTATCACCAGCGAATGTAGGAAGAAGAGGGAAAAAGGATATAACCAGCATTGCAGCAGCTTCCGGTGTGTTCGCTAGTGTTAATCTGAGAATATATAATAAAAACACAATTATTTATTTTAAAATCTGTTCTAAAAATCAATGCACCCAAAAATAACTCTTAGCTTCAACTGTTATAAATGATATTATTCATGGTGGTGAATGTGCAGATCAATGAAATGCATATTAGTTTTCACATATAAGCTAACTATCAGCGGTAGACACATGAAGCACATATTTACGCGCTTATTTGTTTTGAAAACTGCTAATGAGTGGAAATGGTAGCATGTAAAGACTATGAATTAAATTAATAACACTACATAACTTTACTTGTAAGGCAATAATAACAATAGTAATAATAATAATAATAATTATCACCATTAGTATTATTTCTACTATTATCTTTATTACTACTACGAGTTATGAAACAAAATGCGGTATGATAGTCCAACTTTCTACTTTCATGCTACAATAAGACGTAAAAGTTAACAAAAATAACACAGGAAATCCAGTAAGCGAAAACTGGAAGAAAATTAACAGGGTGTAAACCTTAAAAACAATTGATTAGCAGAATGGATACTCAGTGAAATTTACAAACAGACATTTACTGAGCTACGAAATAAAACAGATTTCATATGGTTAACAAAATATCGCTTTTATAAGAACACCAGTTAGGGATAGTGCACACAGCGAAATGTTAGTGCTTACATTGCGTGGGATAATGCAAAGAATGTTCAACGCACGGAAACTAAAAATGCTTTCTACACATTCAAAATGACATTAAGATTGAAAGAAGGATTGTCCGTAATAACCAACACTTTCGTTGCTAACAATTCAACCGCTAACGAAGAAAAAGTTGCATCATGAACTTACCTTCCTGTGTTTGTGAAAACATGCAGACTAATTGGGTGTGGTCCGAGTAATTATCGTAACCAATGGTTAGAGCGCCCCCAAATGCCCTGGTACGGCTGAGAGTGGGGAGAGTCCGCTTTCCCTCTCCAAATGCTCTCACATGGCCAGCGAATATATAGTCTCTGTCAGGGAAGTCCTACTCACTGCCTTCTCGTGGCATTACAGTTGTTTACGAAATTCAGAGGACGAAAAGCGAAGTTGGAGTTGGAAAACCCTGATTCCAAACCAATGGTGCACATGGGCTCATTTTGTTGTGCTAATGAGATGTGGCAACTTGGACCGCTGCATATATGTGCCTGGTACTACGTTGTAGCTGACTGACTGAAGCAAGTCATATTAATTCGTAAGTCGTTGATAGATACACGCATGAAGTTGAGGAATAATTCAAATGTAGGGAAACAACTGTCGTGAGAACTTCAACATTATCAAAAGACTAACTTAATTTGTTAAAACGTTAAATTCCAATACGTGATAATAAAAGATGGCTAGCTATGGTTTACATACCGTCCTCCACCAAGAAACAACAAACCAACGGTGTTAGCGAGAAGCATTTGTAATCCATAACTCGGACCAAGCGCAGCACCAAATACCGAGGCCACAGATACGGGACCGCTAACAGACGCTCCTGTTGAGCTAGTGGAAACCGTTTGGGTGGTTGCGGCAGCACGAGCTGCGGCGGCTGTAACAGTATGATAGAGTGAGTCTGATGCAGTGTTGTTACTTTGTCCAGAATTCAAAGTATCCGGTTTTGAATTGAATAAATGAATTGCTCGAAGTTGTCGAACCATTTTAAGCACAGTCAGATTGCCAGAGCCAGCAAGTATCATAGCGAGAGCTAAAAGACACTGAGCTGCACTTCCAACTAGCGTGGACTTCGGTAAAGATGTCTTTATTTCTACTGAATCACATTGCTTATTTTGAGACGGTGATTTAAAAGTAAAATATGATGGGGGCCACCAAGTATCGTTTAAAAGACTTCTCGCGAGCGAGTACTAGAATGCAATAGATAAAGAGAACTCATTACACTGGTTTACAAGCCAAGAAAACTGAAAATAATAAGTGTTTATGAGTAGATGTGTTATGAATACAAAAAAACACAAAATGATCGAAGGATACAATTTTGGACGAAATGGTTCATAAATGGATCATTATGGTTTTGCCACAAAGTATCTTACAAGTTTAGTTTTCAACACAGTTTAGAACATCAAGGAATCAAGAAACTAAAACATTGTTATTCTTAATGGTAGTAAACAATAGAATTGATAATGTAAATGTTTCTAACAGAGAATCATTTGTTACATTATCAAAACAAAATGATTTATTGAGTGCTTGTTAAAACATGAAACGCATAAATTCAATTAATATTCGTGATAATCTTTCACAACGAGAAATGTAGAAGACTATGAACTTGAATTAATTTGTGGAAAACTGGATAAATTCGGACAAAAAAGATAACTTATTTGCCTCCAAAACATTGGTAGCAGGAAATCATTCGACACATCGATTAATCTAATTAAAAGCTAACAATTTAATTACAGACAATGGAGGGGAGACAAAGATATCTGTAAGAATATTATCTATTCAGTAGAGTAAAATGAACATATTTACCGATATTTGAATATTACATTAGATCACCTGTGAGGTAATCAGCCATACCCAACGTGGAGACTAAATAAATCTGCTACACTACAAGGTACACACTACATACAGAAATATTAGGATGAGCGGCATACGAATCGAAACGATAATAGTATCAATAAATGTGGGATTAAACATGGAGAATTTGGTTTGAAATGAAGGAGCCATATAAGAGAATAAAAAGTATGAAATAATACTAAGACATCAGATGGAAGAGAAAGAAATGACAAATTTATCCTCGTCACTGTGACTGATTTGGAGTTATGTCCATCTAAAAATTAATCACGATAATAACATGCAAGCGAAACCTTAAAGCTTACTTATTTCAGAGAACTAGTATCATGTGGTATGCACAAGAAAGTTTCGATAATAATCAATATACGGTAACAACATCGAGGTAATGTTTATTCCGTGGAGATTTATGAATGATAACTTTGAGAACTATTTGTGGACCAATATATGTGTATTTCCTATTGTATAATTGTCAAGTAACTAAACTATTCATATTCGTATCCCTTTTATTATGAGCTTCATTTTGACCAATAGACTATTATTATACAATTCACCATTCCTGAGTTATCCCCAGTCTATTAATTACTGTTCCCAATGTTCACAGTCACATTTGGCTAAATCTTGTACAAATGTTATTTTTTATTTTATGGTACGATGTGGTCAGTTTGTTTGGTATGTAAACTCAGTATATTTGAGAATAATGATTCATATTGCAGAGGCTGTTATTGCTGTTCTGGACTTAACTGACTGGACTAGGCAGAAAGCAGGACTGATAAGTACTCAAGACTGCTCATACGGCTTTTGTGTATCATAGGGTGATTGATACATCACTGCTCTCCAATGGGCGGTGTTATCACGTTTATATATTAAACAGGGCACATACACAATCGATATAACAGGTAACGTAAAATATATCATAGTCCAATACCACAGTAAATGATCAAGATAATTAGGGTGTAACAGATTATGAGATAATTTCAATCAATTAGGTCAAATCAACGAACACAAAAGACTTAATTCAAGCTACTTGTGGAAGCAGCTCATCAATATTACAATTCCACACAGGTTATTTGGCCGGTGTACATTATAAATATTGTATGGAGGCAGAAAAGTAAGTCAGCTCACTTCCACAGATAACTGTTAGTTACAAAATACGAAAAAACTGTTATTAATATTAATATTATTATTATTATCAATATTAATAAATTCATCAAAACTATTACTAATGTATTAGCTGCATTTGAATTCGATGTTCCAGCATAACGTAAACCCATAGCTAAAGCACATCCAACTAAGATGTTTAAATAAGCCAAACTGAAATAAAGAAATAGTAAAGAATAGAGTCAAACTTTCAGGTTGCACAAACCAATGAAAGTTAAAGTATATAATTCAAGCAATAATAATAATACTAGTAGTAATACTAAAACTAATGACAATAATAATGAATTTTAAGCTCTTATGTTAAAAACTATAATGCGCCAATATATATATATATATATATATATATATATATATATATATATATATATATATATATATATAGATATATAGATAGATAGATAGATTAGATAGATACCCCAAATGCCCTGGTACGGCTGAGAGTGGGGAGAGTCTACTCTCCCTCTCCAAATGCTCTCACATGGCCAGAGAATATATAGCCTCTGTCAAGGAAGTCCTTCTCACTGCCTTCTCGTGGCATTACTGTTGTTTACGAAAGTGAGAGGACGAAAAGCGAATGTCTGGCGCTTTAACCGGGTTGGTGGACATGGAGGGTCCACCTAGGGGAGTTGGAAAACCCTCATTCCAAACCAATGGTGCACATGGGCTCCAGTATCCTGATGGAACGAATGGCGGACGAACATGTCATTGGACAACGGCTACTATGGGACTGCATCTCCTCACGATGCTCCACTGCCTTGTGGATCAGACCTTTAGGTCAAAGGCTCGGGGTGTGGCCTCCTAAGAAAACCACCTGCTTCGGTTTGGGCACCCAGGCAGTATCACAGCCTACACACAAATAAATGAAATGATGAATTCTATTGATGATACTATTCCTGCTCATACTAGAAGCAACACATTATTATTATTATTATTATTATTATTATTATTATTATTATTATTATTATTATTATTATTTACCATATCGCTAACTCACCCCCTTTTATCCCCAATTTGTGTAACCTTACTTTTCAACTTATGCAGTAGCTCGCCCATGGTGGGAACTCTGTCCTATCTAAACGATCTCCAGTCACTGTCTGGTTGAAAGTGAATGCTTCCACCGATTATGAATACTGAAGCAGTCCTTCTGAAACGACGTACGCCGTTCAAGCTGGCTTCCTTCAACGTTCGCACACTAATGCATATCAGACAACAGATAGAGTTGGCTATGTCTTTGGAAGGTCTTAATGTTGATGTTTGTTGTCTATCCGAGACCCGTATTCAAGACTCTAGTGAAGTACTACAAATCCGCTCTCCATCTGTCGCCTCGAAAAGCTTGTTCCACGTGCGCATATCCGGGGACCCTGTGGCATCTTCGTCTGGTCTTGCTGGCGTTAGTGTCGCACTAAGCGCTAGGGCTGAGGCAGCACTAATCGATTGGATTCCCATTAACAGTCGGTTATGTTCTGTTAGATTAGAAAGTTCCATCAAAATGAGAAGAAACCGGCGTGAGAAACGGTGTCTTTTCGTCATCTCCGCCAATAACCCGACAGATTGAAGCCCGGATGCAATCAAGGATGAGCTTTACCATCAGTTAACAGTTCTTCTCCAGAAAGCGCGTTCGACAGATATTGTAGTACTAGCCGGAGACTTGAATGCTAAGGTCGGGCGTCTAGGCACAGAAGAGAGTCGTTTAGGTGGCCGATGGGGACTTGTTGGTCACAGGACAGACAACGGGAACCGTTTGCTGCAACTGTGCACAGACCACAACCTGTTTCTGGCCAGCACTAACTTCCGGCACAGTCATCCTCGGTGTGCCGCCTGGCGTCCTCCCTCTGCATCCCAAGCCTGGACTCAGATTGATCACATCGCGATCAGCTACCGCTGGCGTGGTTGTGTACAAGACTGCTGCTCCTTTTGGAGTACCTATCTGGAGTCTGATCATGCCCTGGTCTGCGCCAATCTCACCTTACTTTTCAGTGGCCGAAGGATTGACCACCAACAACGGATCGATGTTAGTAAACTGGCTGCAACATCTGTTGCAAGTAAGTATCGAGCGGTGCTAGCCTCTAGGCTAGCTACCATCCAACCGAGAAGTATAGATGAGCATTGGTTGCATTTTCACGATGCCATGAAAATGGCGAGTAAAGTCGCTTGCGGTTTCGCGAAACGTCCCGCTTACAAGCACTGGGTTTCTTCTGGCTCCTTACAACTGATGGAAGCCCGCCGGTCTACTCCGGGTCACCGTGAGTTTGACCACAAACGAAGGCTGTTACGTAATGAAATCGGGCAAAGCTTGCGTAAGGACCGAGAAGCCTGGTGGTCGGACCGTGCCAACGAGTTGGAAGCATCAGCTGCATCTGGTAACTGCCGGAAGCTCTTCCAACTCATCCGAGCCACTGACAGCAAGAAGTCTGGTGTGAGTGAAACAATCTACGAGGATGATGGGATGCCAATCACTAACATCTCTCGACGTCTTGGACGATGGGCGGAATTGTTCGAAGGGCAGTTCAACTGGCTTGCTGCTCCGGCAATATTAACCAGTTTGTCCTGCCGCCCATGGCCGGTGACGACTGATCCACCAAATGAGGCGGAAGTCCGCAAGGAACTCCAACTCCTGAAGCGCTACAAGTCACCTGGCCCAGATGACTTACCTCCGGCTCTTTTTAAAGATGGTGGCGACCTTCTGACTAAGTTATTGACTGTGTTGTTTCCAAAGGTTTGGGAGCAAGAAAATGTTCCAACATCATGGAATGAGTCAATAGTCGTCCCTATCTTTAAAAAGGGTTCACGTTGTTCCTGTAACAACTATCAGGGGATAAGTCTACTTCCGATTGCGTCCAAACTATTGGCTTCTATCATTCTTCGCAGGTTGTTTAAAACCCGAGAACGATTGACTCGCGAGGAGCAGGCTGGTTTTCGTTCTGGTCGAGGATGCATTGATCACATCTTCACCATCCGCCAAATGTTAGAACACCGTCATACTTATCGCAGGCCAACAATCGTAGTGTTTCTTGATATCAGGGCTGCCTTCGATTCGTTGGACAGGACTGTTCTCTGGGATTGTCTATTGAAGAAGGGTGTGCCTGAGAAGTTCATTAACATCTTAAAGGCCCTGTATACGAACACCTCAGGCAGAGTGAGGGCATACAACCACCTTTCTCCCTTGTTCCATTCGAGCAGTGGGGTTAGGCAGGGTTGCTCAATCTCACCATTCCTCTTCAACTTTGCCATCGACGACATCTTGGAAATAGCTCTGATGGATGTAAGTAATGGCGGTGTGGATATGTGAAACCTGGCCTCTCCGAGTTGAGGATGTTAGACGTCTCTCTGTGTTCGATCATCGTTGTCTCCGAAGGATTGCTGACATCCAGTGGCAACACCATGTTAGTAATGCAGAGGTTCGGCATCGTGTGTTCGGGCGCAGAGATGATAATTCAATTGGTGTCACCATCTTGAAACACCGACTTCGGTGGCTTGGACATGTTTTACGAATGTCGTCCCAGAGACTTCCACGTCGTGCATTATTTGCCGACTCTGTGACTGGTTGGAAAAAGCGGAGAGGAAATCAGTGTATGACATGGTGTCGTGGCATGAAAGAAAGCTGCAAAGGGCTAGCTTCTGTTGGTCCTTTACGACTCCCTGGCTGGGGTCCGAGAGATGGTGCAACACAGTGGCTAGAGACGTTATCAGATATGGCTCAGAATAGAAGCCAGTGGCGATCCTGCTGCAACCTTCTTTTACTTTCTACATAAAGAGTAGTTCTAACTTTCTTAACTGAAAGAGTCTTCTGGTTGTACATTTCAGTCCGCCTTGTCTTTTCATCCCTTCTCTTCCTACTTTCATTATTTTGTGTGGCGCATATGTACCCGGTGCCCTTTGTACAAATATAAGTGTTTAGATAAATAAATAATAGATAGATAGATAGATAGAACACAGTGACTTGAAAACCTGAACACTGTCGATAGCTGAATGTTTGTCTGACTCTATGATGGCCGTAACAAAACAGTATTCACTTTATGGTTAAATCTGATCGTTAGTGAGAACAACATTGCTGTATAAATTAATAATTAAAACCAGTTAGAACTTTCGCCTGACTCAAACTCCAAATGTGAGTGTTGAATTCGCCAGTTGAAAAAAATTAATTGAGTACGTACAGAGATCTAGCCAAATAAACACCTTTTCCGTTGTTGGGTGTGTTTGTAGGTTCACCATAGGAGTAGGCCACGAAAATGAATCAATGTGGTTGGCTCGTTGTTTCCTTTATGTATGCTTTCGAAACGTAATACATAGACGTCTGCTGAAATACTTACAGTAAAATTAGTGAAGCATGTCGTTTGACTAAATATAGGATAGGAACATCAAAGCCATAACACTTTTTCAGTTTCGCAGACCAATTGAGATATTTTCTAAGCTCAGTGTTTGTGAATAAATACAAAGAAGTCGTAGAGTATGGGAAGTTAGGGAGCGAGATAAGAAACGAAAGAATCAGTTTTATATGCTCATACATACATGCCACACTTTTAAGTTCGCTACTTGAATAACGCAGAATATAGATTACGACTACGGCCTCTAGAGGCTCCGCTGTAGTTCTTAGAAACCGACTCAACACACCAAATCCGTTAAGATCGCTGAGCGTGAACTTTCTGCATTATCTCAAAAATAAACTATTTTCATATTTTGTTGTGTTACTAATGTTTATAGTTAAAAAGTTAAGGATGTATTTATTCGAGGTCGGTAACATACATTTATTCTGTAAATATAAAGTCAACGCTAAAAGAGGATCGATAAATCAATAAAAGTATGCCTTCATAGTGAATATTAGTAATAATACATACTCACCTTATGGCTTCAATATCCACTGAATCTTTATTGTGCAATCCAAATTGATCGAAGCACTCAATTTTTTCGGGGACTGCTTTGATATTGTCGACAATAGATTCCTCTTCAGACCATTGTCTTATATCATATCTCCTTGAACGTCGAACAGGTCGACCACGAACATTACTTAATGTACTTCGACGGCCCCTATTATATGCAGAACGTCCATATGCATGGTATAAAGAATCAGTAAATGTTTGATCAGGACATCGATTCTCGACATCATCTTCACTGGATAAATCAGCCTGCCCCAATGTAGCACGAATATCTGAGACGTTCGGTGAATGTAACTTCGGTCTAGGTCTAATGGACTCGCTGAGCCTTTCAAACAATTGTTCCGGTATGTAAGAATCTATCCACTCTTGAGTTGGTTCTATTGAATTCCAGTTAACAAGACCATAGGCAAGTGCTTGGAACAGGAGCAAGTCGGGTCGAATAAGCTCCAACTGGCGTAAAGAAGATGGCGGAAGAAGCCAACTACTGACGGTGGAATTACCACTACCCAAATAAGCCATTCCAAGAGCCATCATAGCACCAGGGGCGCTAACATCTGCGTTGTAGCAATGGAGGTCCCGTATCTGAAACAAAAATTTGTTCAAAGGAAAAAATAACAAAGTGGAGATGGAGAGAATGGTAAATTGTAAGATTGGAGCCAAAATTAACACACGAACAGTAGATGTTGTGGATTACCTGTGGATTTTTCCATGTTGTTTTAGTTGAACATTCGTCCAAACGACCAACAAGGTCAGAAACGGCAGATGGAATTCTATTAAAGCCATTTGTTAGAGTTGGAGATGTTGCAGGACCAGTATTAGATGAACTGCGACGACGAGATGAAGGCTGTCGACTGGATGAAGAGATTCCTCTGATATCCATTGAGTTATGTAAATAGTCATTGGTTAGAAATCTCTCTGGATCAACTAAAGGTTCCGTTGAATAATCACTGTGCAGCAGTAAGCTTGGAGTTCGAAAGGTACTTGAAGAGAAAGAAGCACCTCTTGTAGAAGAATCTGATAAATTATTTTGAGGACTAACAGGTTCAACACTCGTCTGATGAGGTAGTCTTGAATGATCTATTAGTCGACGAGGAGCACCTCTACCTTTCACGTGCTGAATAGGTAAACACCTTTCGTGCAGATCACATGAGAAATGTATAGTGTATTGTTGATTTTCTGCAACAGCTGAATTCGTACTCTTTGGCCCCGAAGTCATATACGCACGTAATTTCTCCGCCCATTGTAGATCAGACAAACCACATGGTGTATCGCCTCTCTGTGCATAATAGATACAAAAAGCGAATCCTTCAGTAAAACTAACAATTTTACTATAATATCACCAGGAGTAATAACTATATTATAATCTAAACTTCAATCATTTAGACCGAGCAATACCTGAAAGATGCTTCTTATATGATACATTAATAAGTTGGCCTTTCAATTTTGTGAGGATTGATATGTTTGGTGAGAGCAAGATCACCAAAAAATCTTAACGCTTCTATTTTTAAAGCTACTATCAGATTTTATCTGATGAGAAAATAAAACTTACTACCATAGGACATTCTTTACGCTCAGTTGGTCACTATGCAACAGATTTTAAAATACAAAGAAATTTATGGAAATATCTGGGTGCAAAAACTCACCTGTAGGAGTACAAGCCCAAGTGCAAGACCTGCTGAAAGAGCCATAAGCTCACAGCTGTCACCTGCAAAACCCCCTGAACCACCAGCACCCGTCCAGCCGACGGTATTATTTGTTGGATTATTATTCGACGCATTGGAAACAGTTTGCTGGGAGTCTGTATCTGCATTTAATCCTAAGTGTGCACTATCAGAATGAGAATCTTCACTTAACGAACGACCTAGCTCATTAATCAATAAATTAGTAATATGTCGATGTGCTGATCCCTGATAAAGTAACCCAAGACCGAAAATGGCAGCAGCTTGACATAAATTAGGAACACTAAGTTGGACATTAATCAAAGGATTGGATGGCAAAAGTGGACGATAATGAACTGCAATAAGTCGCAAAACAGACTGATCCATTGTACCTCGTCTCCCAGCACATAACCCTTAGAAAGATAAGATAAAATGTACATAATAACTAGTTAAACGAATAAACAGTCGAAAAATCTATAAGTACCTAGTGCTTATTATCTACACGCTATAACAAAACTGTATTGTATTTTCTATAGATTTGTTCATGTTCTTATCTGCCGAATTGTATTTCTCATTATTTATATGTATAAACTGAACTACATTTAACTCCCTTGGAGTTGGCGTTTGGCTGATTAGATACAAACAAAAATAGGTGGGTGTATAGTCTAGAAGAAAAGCATGAAACGCTAAGGGTCCCCGTATATAACCTTATTCGTCCAAAGAAATGTCAACAACATTTTAAGGAAGACAGTAAACAAATCTGATCAACTATAGAAAAAGATTGTAATTTGAAAGCAAACTGACTGTTAGATCACCATAAAATGAATAACTTATAAATAAATATCTTGAAAACAAACACATAACATAACGTTCTTCTAACAAAGATTATATATATATATATATATATATGGCTGGTAGTTGAACGGATTAATCATTACGCCATTAATCAACAAGAAGGCGAATGAAAATCACTTAGAGGATGAAATTCAATTTCAGTTTAATTAACGGACCAAAAATTTATTCTACTTTAATAACAAGCTTTCAGTCTCAAGAATCTTTTATTTTAAATGTATATTCAATTATCTTTACGTTTCATTTCTAATTTCTTTCAATGTGATATTATAAATTTGGGCAAATATACTGAACCTATGGGTTATTGTGTCTTAGTTGCTTAAAGAACAGATTTCCAACAATTTGTCTAAATTGAAATCATGAGTCAATTGAAGCTAGACCACCATCGAAAACCTGAAAGCACTGGACGGCCGTTTCGTCCTACTATGGGACTCCTCAGCAGTGCGCATCCACGAACCCACTCTCGCGGGATTCGAACCCAGAACCTACCAGTTTCGAGCCGAAGCAGTGACCAGTGGAGTTCAACCACGTCTGTTGTGAGATATCAACTCACTGAAGACAATTGGTGAATGGTTGCTCAACTTCGTGGATCAGTTGAAGTTAGACATTAACACCGTTGGATGCCAGCTCAGTGGTCTATCGGTTAAGAGCTTCGGCTCGAAACTGGTAGGTCCTGGGTTCGAATCCCGCGAGAGTGGGTTCGTGGATGCGCACTGCTGAGGAGTCCATAGTAGGACGAAACGGCCGTCCAGTGCTTGCACGTTTTCGATGGTTGTCTAGCTTCAATTGAATCATGATTTCAACTTTGAAAAATACTGAAATCTCCACAAATCCCCTTCTAAATTTGTCTAAATGTTGAAAACTAATTCTACTTACTTCAGTTTGAGTAACCAGGTGGAGATCTTAATAATTTTATTGTTGAATTCATGAGTCAATTGAACCTAGACAACCATGGAAAACCTGGCAGCACTGGACGGCCGTTTCGTCCTACTATGGGACTCCTCAGCAGTGCGCATCCACGATCCCGCCTCGCCAAATTCGAACCCAGGACTTATCAGTCTCGCGCGCGAGCGCTTAACCACTAAACCACTGAGTCATGTCTAACTTCAACCAATCCACAAAATTGAGCAATCATCAAATCTCAAATGGACAATTGCGACTTATAAGCAAAAATGGATAGTGGCTTGCAGTAGAATCCAGGACGCGCGTTTCGTCCGGTTTGGGATTCATCAGCTGGATGCACCTGCATCTCAGAGTCCATGTTCACTCTGGGACTCGAACCCGGTACCGTTCGCTTAGAATGCCATCGCGTTATCCACTTGCTTGTGCAACGGGGTGAAGTTTAAATTCACTTGGTATTGTTTGGTTGCATTATTCTGTATTCAGTTATTACAAAACAATTCAGATAACATTACGTTGCAGTTATTTATTCTGAAGTATATATATATATATATATATATATATATATATATATATATATATATATATGGAGAGAGAGAGAGAGAAATGTTAAGGGAAAAACAATATGAACTATAAAGGCCTTACCTAAAAGTACAGCCATATTGTGCAAGTCATGCACCCGTACAAGATATTCTCCTATATCATAAGGTGTAATTTTGTTTAAGTGACCATTTAAACCCAAGCCAAGAAGTAGACCAGCTTGTTCTGGACTAGACGTGTCCGTAGATGATGGAGAATCTTGATTAGTACGAAGATTATTTTTACGATTATTAGCGGATGTGAGTCCGGCAGCACGACAGTTATATAAAATCCATGTTGCATCTATCTGTAGTAAACCACACAAATAGGCCTTAAAAATTCATACATCCATGAAGAAACAAGTAATTTATAGTTCATTGATTATTCATAAAAAAAATGCTAATGGGTTATTTATTTGTTACATTCCAATTGTAATTTAATCAAAGAGACCTAAAGACAGATACGTTACTGAGGCTACACCAAGCTAACCGTTGCTGATATGACACCAAGTAGGATCCTGACTACTTGCATGAGAAATGTGGCTAGTGAATAAGATCAAGGGATTGCTATGAATAGAAACAATAGTGCATATGAATATTGACGGTCGAAGCAATTTACTTTCTTATTTTCTCGCAGAGGACGGTTCATACTAATGGCACTGATATCTTCCAGCAACAGTAAAGTGGTCGCAAAATACGTTGACCGTGGATAACTCTGTTGACTGTTAGAAGTATACAGACACTTTCGTGGGAACAGATTAATTCGAAATACGAATAATTTTTATTATGAAATGTATTCAGTAAATGGGATTTAATTTGATTCAGTAAATATTCAATTTCTATATACATGTGTTAATACGCAAGAAAACACATGCAACTTTTGGAACTAACCGAGGCATCAGGTGATACACTTAAACCGATAGCCACTCCATTATGAAAATCTGGCCAGTGCTTTGCAGCCAGTACTCCTGGAGACTGTTGAATATTGGAAGTAGACAGTAATGAAGCAGTAGAAGATGCTGAGTTTGTAGCTGTCGTGGATATATTGGAACTGGCATAATTGTTGAGCAAGTTATTGCTTGGTGTCATACGTTTCAGTCCTAAAGATACAGTCTGGAAGGAAAAATCAATCGATACAGAGATTATCTTTCTATAGTATACACTGTTAAAGATATTTCAATAAGACTAAAAACAAAAACAAAAGCTGAAGATATAATCCTAAAACAGTATCTTACACGCAAAGATGCCCCTGCACCACATGATGCTAATGAAGAAGCGATAGCTAGAGCCACAGAATTTCCTGGATGGTTAGAAGCGTCAACACTCTGGACACCAGTGATTCCAAGTCTATCTCCACTACCCCCAGCTATATCTAAGCCACTCGCAATCACCTCAGCAGTTCCAGCTCTGTTGGTACCCGCATTTGCACTAGCAGGCCCGAGGGGCTCTCGAGCGAGGTCAACCAAAACACGCCTTCCACTGCTTGGGGAAATCGCTCGACCACGCAAACATATTGGAGGTACACGAAGTTGTGTCGGTACTTTCGAACCTGTAAGGATTCCAAAAGTCAGCATTCCACGACCAATAACAGAAGCCCAAACACGGATACCAGCTGCAGCTAAGTGCATCTCAAACCTTGCTTCTGTCAAACGAGCATTTAAATCAGATCCAGGGGCATTGTTGGGAGATGTACTGACAGGATCTTCGGAATTCAGACGAGGAAGACGAATATGACTGAAACTTTGAAGAAGTCGATATGCTTCACGAAGACGTAAATCATTCTAAAAATATTAGCAAAAATAGGAAATGTATTAGGCTTCAAAGAATATAGAAACAGTAAGAAAATAATCTAGTATCAAGATCTTAGGTAGTTGGAGGTAGTCGACAGAAAACTCTGGACTCAAGTTTCGTGCTATTTAGCGATCATCAGAAAAATGTACCTGTAGTCTTGAAAGGACTAATGCTCAGTCACGTGTCGCCCAACTCCACATCTATAGACGCTACCACTGAGCTATTCGGGCTGCGACTGACCACCTCTTACAGGAGTGAGATGATCAATGTCATGTTTGTTTAGCCCTTGATCGGTGGAAGTCGATCAGCATTATAAAGAGGTTGTTATACGCTGCATCGGTAAATACTCGGAGATCAATCACTTGTAAATCTAGTCATCGGTCTCATTTAATGATGGGTCATAGAAAGTATCAAGAGTAAAAAAAGGAGAGGTTACTTGTGACAGTCAGCTAGTACTTCAACCTTCGAGAGGCTAACAATATTGTATGTGAAGATAAATGAGCTACTGACTCTCATAGAACTGCTAGGAAATAGAATAATTAACGTAAACGAATTTATATGTTTGAGCTTAGCCACTACACTAGAGCGTGTATGATATTTGCTAACTTTTAGAAACCGCATTGAATCAGGATTTAATAATAGAACAACTTTATTAGCTGTTTAACCTTTACCAAAATTTGGATGTCTTGAAAAATCTATTTCATTACATTAGTGCTGATTATTGTGGATACCATGCAATAACAAATAGCTAACTATCAATTCGCTGTTTTAAATGAACTGTATTCGATATGATAATAGTCAAAAAGAAGTGGAGAAATGATCAAAAAGGTTTGAAACTCAGGTGGATGCTTTTTCAGCATTACGTTATTTGAGCAAAGACGTTTAATTGTGAAGCTTTTGTCTTCGTTCTGAACAGTTTCATCAGAGCTTCCCTAGATTTTTCCTGATCGAGAAATTTGACATCTCCCTCACTGAACTCATGTCCGTAGAACACTGATATCAGAAGAGTAAATTATGAAGTTTAGCTGATAATTTACATTCATGATTCTTTAGTAATGGCATTGTCTTTTTACTCTGGTGTTTCTTTTAGTTCTCATAAAACGGAAAAAAGCGATTGTGTTGGCTTGTGAAGGACACTGATTCCGAAGGGCTTCAAAATTCTGATGGTGATTTCCGAGATGTTTTCTCACATAATAGGGCGATTCGTTTCCTAGTCATCTGAATGAACTGATCTGATACTTATTTAACAATTGAAAAGTCCATTTCTACATATAGCATTCCCTGAGCCCCCAAATGCCCTGGTACGGCTGAGAGTGGGGAGAGTCCGCTCTCCCTCTTCAAATGCTTTCACATGGCCAGCGAACATATAGTCTCTGTCAGGGAAGTCCTACTCACTGCCTTCTCGTGGCATTACAGTTGTTTACGAAATTCAGAGGACGAAAAGCGAATGTCCGGCGCTTTAAGCGGGTTGGTGGACAAGGCGAGTTCACCTAGGGGAGTTGGAAAACCCTCATTCCAAACCAATAGTGCACATGGGCTCCAGTATCCTGAGGGAACAAATGGCGTACGAACCAATCGTTGATCACCGGATACCATGGGACTGCATCTCCTCACGACGCTCCACTGCCTTGTGGATCAGATGTTTCGGTCAACGGCTCCGGGTGTGGGCCCCTAAGAAAACCGCCTGCTTCAGTTTGGGCACCTGGGCAGTATCACAGCCCTCAAGCAAATCGAATGAGATTTGTGAGGCGCCTATGTATCTGGTGCTTCCTTGTACCAATATTTATATGTTTAAATAAATAAAATAAATTCGCTAATGACTTTATCCAGACTGACAACGAAAGCTTTACAGTAATATACATCACACAGCTAAAAGAATGGCAACACTAACAAAAGAAGTGGAGACATATTTCACGATATCAAATACATATAAATAACAATAAAAAGTGCCATTCACTGTTTCTTTAAACACTAACATGCCAATACTAAATCCTGAAAGGATTAATTAATATAACGTTCTTATATTTAAAAACCTTAACGAGATTATTAACGTTTGAGTTCCAGTTCATCTTAATTACCTGAAACTGCAATGATGAAAAATAAATGCATTTACAAATTTCAAAAATAACGCATCATTTTCGAATAAAGTAAACAACCTTGAAAGAAGCTTGACAACATGGGTTGTTTTCTATATGGTACAATAGAGCATGAGATGATGCAGCCACATTCGAGGATAATGAGTCTATATCTCGAAGAGGAAGAACTAAATTTGACCAGAGTTCTTCGATAGACCAGGAAGAAGTTTCACCGACAGACGAAGGCACAGATAATATTTTAAGTAGACTAATTGGCTCAGAACTTGTACTAACAGAGTTTGAACAATTAAATACTGAATCAAAGATAGAGTTTCCTTGATGATCTAACATGTGTGCTTGCTTCGCCAAATCAGTACGTCCTTAAATGAGAAAATATAGATTACTTATAATGTACAATATGTTGTTAAGATATTTTTTTTAAAAAGGACAAAATGTGTTACCTAAAAGTTACGAAATTACACTTCGGAGGCAGTTTGTCAAAATCACCTCAAATTGTTAAACTAGATTGTATTTAACCATAACTAAATCACTACGGAATATTATATTTTTAAAAGTTACCAAATGAGATCGATAGTACTAGATTAACAACTACTGCTTTTTGGAACTTAGCCATTAGATGTTAAATAAGGTAGAATTCATTTACGACTAAACACCATGAAACAACCATAGTTGTAACCATGGGAAGGTTGTCTATATAAACTATCATTACGAAAAACAACGAACCATATTGATTAAAACACTAGTATCTTGAGAACATACAACACAAGATCTATACGAAAAAATGTTTACATTTAGACATATATCAAAAAGAGTTCGAGCAAAAATGTCTGCATCTATGTTTCAAAATAGCTGAACAGTACATCTTGTCATATAAATATTTGTGGTTTTAACTTTAGTTATACATGACATTTAAATAGGTAGCAAAACGAACTTACCCATCAAACTATACACATGAGGATCACAATTAGGAGGAGGATGCAACCTACAACGGCTAAGAAAAATACGTAAAATCATTGACAAACCAGGTGGCAGTACACGTAATCTCTTACTCAACACACCATAGAACAATTTACTGCTCGACTCCAATCGACTAAGAAATAATAATGCCAAGTGTTGTGCAGAAATCGGCAAAGCAGTTGACTCAGTTTCACGTGAAAATTTATTACTAGACAATGTAACGCAAGTTAAAAGTGTCTCAACATAAGAACAAGCGTAAGGTCCAGCATTTTGTAGCCAATGTTTGACTTCTTCATCATTAAATATAGGAAAATCATCTCTTTTCCTTGAACATTCATAAACTAGATAAAATCATCAGGAAGGAAATTAATATAAATAGTAAAGAAACGTCTTAACCAAGAAATAATGTTTCAAAAAAACAAATTTATTCCGAACAGATTAAATCAAAATATATGCTATGAATTTAAAATAAGATAAGTGACAAACAACAATATCAGAAAACTACCTCAGCAGTCATCTTGATGGTATGAATTAAACTAAGTTCAATGTATTCGCAGAAAACAGATTATTTGTCACTATAATATAAATTATAGATAGAAACAATACTATGTTTTCATAGACCTAGACATACAATAATAATCCCCCACCCATGTAAAATTGTCGATAACTGAAAATGAATGCATCTAAGGTAGCCTTATGTTACACTTTTCCAACATACCTAGAATCGCACCCAACCATATACCCAATAAAATCCATTTTCATCTCCCAACTTTATACTCTTTTAACCACTTTACTTAATCTTCCACCATCGACGGCATTATCATCCTTATGTTTTTACTGTAATTCCTGTGAATATTTCCTGACTGAATTATAATGACATCAATCGATACATATTTAGTTTAAGTTATACATTAGTTGTAGTAGTTCACAAATAATCTAACTTTCTGAAAGAACTCAGATATAAGGCTTAAAAATAATTAGTTTACCAAAGAAGAACTGGAGACCAAATTTCTTGATTGAATCATTAATATGAAATAACTTATACAGTCAAGTGATAGATACCAGATTAATCAACGAGAGTACAGTGAATACGGTCAATTTCACTTTGTTCAGAAACATGTCACCAACATACATACCATACGTCGAAGGACAAGCAAGAAGTTTGCTTGAAAATATTCCATTTAGTCGGTCTGCAAATTAACTGATTAGCACATTTTTTATTTAAAAACCATCCTCTACCATATGGAAAAATTAAAGATAAACTAACACAGACCTGAACCACTTGACTTTGCGAATGTTTTCCATTTGAATATTTGATCGGACCAAAACTCCAAAAGATATTGAACTGCCGACTTTGAATCCGCGTTTTTAAGCTCTTCCAACTTTTCTGTGGATAAAGCTGAAACGATCACTCCTGCTAAGGCAGTTGCCAAATCATTCACGCCAGTCACATAAGGATAAGGATTTATTTTAACAAACGTCTCACCAGAAAATAATGATTCAAACTGTCTTGTTACCCATGTTAACAAGCAAGGTGCTATATCAAACGATATTTTATCCGGCCAGTTTAAATACTTAGTTGGAAATTCAACTTCAGTAACCAAAGTGATGTGACACAAATTTGGATACTCAGTTTCATAAAACGTGGTATAAGCGGGCAAATTCAATATACTAGGAAGAGAAAATGGGAAAACGTTAATATAAATAGATTCCAAAAATGATCTGACAATATTAGCATTCCAGAAGACAGACACATGCGCTAAACAAGACATTCAAATGAGGGAGAACCACTGAGGTAAAACAAAGGAATAGAAGACCTGCACATCTGCTGAGAATATGGGTTACATTAAGTACTGAATCGGTTAACCCTTACCGATCCCTGCTGCAATTAACTATACTGTCTGGCTTGTGTGTAGTATCAGTTTATATGTTAAGCCCATATACTTTACCCTAGCTTCTGGCCAAGCTAATTCACCTATTCATTAAGTCATATTTTGATCTGGTTAATTATTCGCTTCTTAACCTTGACAATATTTTTATATGAGCGTGTATGTGTGCACACTTCGTATCTTATTCATCATATGTCTGTCATTCATTTTTGTCTGATTATAAAGTATTGAGTAATGCTTGCTCATAGAGAGTTGGCTTCCGCGCCATTTCCAATACGTGTCATGTATGCTTCGCTCGCTTACACTTGCTCATGTGCCCACAGCTTTTTGGTCTGCATTATTTATCAATAAAAAAGTAGTTGCCGCTTCCTTTTGCCTTCTGATTTTATACGCCGATAAGATTGGTATAGTAACGGTTATCGAACTGAACTACTAATGAAGCACGGCACTACATGTGGATAAATTGGTAAAATGTCAAAGGTCGTTAGACTCATATGAGCATCAGACCATGGAGATGACAATTAGTTGAATCGTATCTTGAGTTATGGACTTGTTTACTGGTGTCCGTGCGATCACAATTGTTGGATTGAAAACCCTAGATTTAAAGACCTGGAATGCGACTAATTGATAGATAGATATATATATATATGGACATGAAGGGTCCACCTAGGGGAGTTGGGAAACCCTAATTCCAAACCAATGGTGTACATAGGCACCAGTATCCTGAAGGAACAAATAATGTATGAACCAATTATTGGTCACCAGGTACCATGAGACTGCATCTCCTTAGGTTGCTCCACTGCCCTGTGGGTTAGACCTTTAGGTCAAAGGCTCCGGGTGTGATTCCCTAAGAAAGCCACCTGTTTCGGTCTGGGCACTCGGGTAGTCCACACACAAATGAAATGAAATGACAATTAATACTGGGAATAATATTCTTTCTTCAATTACAATTCAGACAATTCACACTCGTTTGATAACATTCATTATTATTTTTCTTATTTTATATACTACGTCACTTATCTACTCTCTTCTATTCTCACTTTGTGTATCCTTATTTTTCAACTTATACAGCAGCTCGTCTATGGTGGGAACCCTGTTCTATCTAAACGATATCGAGCCACTGACTGGTCGATAGTTCAATGACACCACCGAATAACAATTCTGAACCAGCCTTTCTGAAACTACGTATACCATTCAAACTGGCCTCTTTCAACATTCACACACTAATGCAGATCGAACAACAGATAGAGTTAGCTATATCTTTAGAAAGTCTTAACATCAATGTTTGTCGTCTATTCAAGAACTGTATTCAAGACTCTAGTGAAGTACTACAAATTAGCTCTCCATCTGTCGCTCTGAAAAGCTTGTTTCACGTGCGTTTATCCGGGGACCCTGTGGCATCTTCGTCTGGTCTTGCTGGCGTCGGTGTCGCACTAAGCGCTAGAGCTGAGGCAGCACTAATCGTTAGGATTCCCATTAACAGTCGGTTATGTTCTGTTAGACCGCAGGCAGAGTGAAGGCATACAACCACCTCTCTCCATCGTTCCATTCAAGTAGTGAGGTTAGTCAGAGTTGCCCAGTTTCATCATTCTCCTTCAACTTTCACATTGTTGACGTTCTGGAAACAACTTTGATGGATGTATGTAAGGGTGGTGTGGATCTGTTGCCTGAAGACAGACTTCTCGACCTCGAGTATGCGGATGATGTCTTCCTGTGTGATGATACGCAAGCCATGCAATCCGTACTTAATCATTTGGCAATCAGTGTCCGCAAGTACGGTATGTGCTTTGCACCCTCCAAGTGCAAAGTACTCCTACAAGACTGGCAGGATCCTGATGTTGCACTCACCCTAGGTGGTAAACAGATTGAAGTAGTGAAGTTCGTGTATCTAGGTAGCTGCATAAGTGCTGGTGGTGAAGTGAGTGATGAGATCGATGCACGTATAGTGAAAGCCAGAGCGGCTTATGCCAATCTGGGCCATCTTTGGCGCCTTCGTGATGTTAGTCTGGCTGTAAAAGGTCGCATCTAAAACGCATCGGTGAGAGCAGTTTTGCTCTATGTTTGTAAAATTTAGCCCTTCAGAGTTGAGGATGTTAGACAACTCTGTGTTCGATCAACACATTGGCTTGAGAGGTTTTCTGATATGGCTTAGAATAAAAGCCAGTGGCAATCCTGCTATATCTGTCTTCACAAAAGATGAACATAACTCCTTCTACTTGAAGAATTTCTTTTGGTTGTATTTTCCTAACCAAACTGCTTCTAGATTTTAGCAGTTTAATAATCCCCATAGAATATTTAAAAGAAAAGAAATGCTTTTCTCAGTATTATTATTATCATCATCAGTATTATTGTTTTACTCCCATACACTTATTCCTGCTCATTGTCGTTCTTTTTTATTGTACTCACCTTCTATTCTCTATTTCTTCACAACCTCATTATTACTATGTGAGGAATATATTTGTTCAAATAAATAAAATATTATACTATGCTAGGAAAATGATAGTATTATAATGTTAGACGAGGAAAATTAATTGGAAAAAAAATGGCATAAATGTTTATCATTCAACATAAATTTCTGTAAAGCATAACTAAAATGAGAATAACCAAATCTCAGACAAAAAGACCGCCTAGAATTTCTTTATAAAACTTCGCTAGTAATGTATTAATATCTAGTGGTACCGACATGTTACTAAATTCCATTTACTAATCTTTACAACACAAAAGTATTTGCGGTGTTTACATCGTTGTCTCTAAATAACTTAAGTTTTTAAGAGATTCTTTTCTGTTTAAACTATGAATGTAGTATTTAAGTTTATTCAAATGTACATTACAAGAACTTCATGTGAACGAGTTTTGATTTGATAATTTCGCGTAAATTGAGCATTGGGTAGATTGTTATAAATAAATAATATATTTGTAATATTATTATTATTAATATTCTTATTGTTCCGTTGTCAGTCAGTCAGTCAGCTACAACGTAGGACCAAGCACATATATGCATCGGTCCAAGTTGCCATACCTCGTTAGCACAACAAGATGAACACCGGATTCATAGTAGTTAATTTAGTGTTGGTAGTAGTATATAAATTATAGGCTGTATATAAGGATATAGTACAGGAAGGAAGAGAGATATGAAGCAATTTTAGTCTCAAGGTTTAAGGGAAGATAAAGAGTGTATACACCTACGCCATTGCGATCGATTCTGAGCCATGTCACCTAGAGTCTCCAACCATTGGTTACGATAGTCACGTGGACCCCAACCAGGTAGTCTGCATCTGCCAACATGGCTCAGACTAGAAGTTAGTGACTTCAAACACTGATGCCATGTTTTGGTTTGGCCGCCACTAACTCTCTTGTTCCGTTGTACTATTTAAAGTTGGATCAATTTTAATTTGGTTATTTATTCTCTGAAGAAGTGGCTTACACTGAGTCACAAAACGTCAGAAACTCTAATTTTTCTACTCATTGGGATATTACAAATATATTATTTATTTATCTATGTGAACAAGTTCACGATATATTGAATCTCATATTTAGTTAATTAAAAAAAGGATTCCTGAAAAGCGTAATTACAGAATAAAGTTTAGATACCTTGAAATGATGAAATTGAGTTCGGCTAAATGTTTCACTTTATCTTGTAAAATGGAATTCAATTTAGCTTCCTGAAAGCACATAAAAAACCAGATAGGAAAATTAAATTACGACTAAATGCATAATAATCCACAAGAGATGATTCTATCAACAACAAAGAAGATGAAATCAGAACAGAACCTCACTTGTTCCGAATATCTTTTAAAAAATTTGAAACTAATGTCGTTTTAGTGTGAAGTCAAGACTAATTTAGCATGTTCCTCAAAGGTAGATGGAGAGGTACATAATACGTAGATAGGCGGGAAAAAAGACATTGATTCAAGTATTATTTACCAATATTAAAAACTGGAACATTTGATAACAACCTAATCGCCTAAAAGTAAAACGTTCCCCGAAATATGTGAAGGTGGTAGGAGTGTACTTCTAAGAAACCCCGTACTATGAAGAGAAGGTTGTCCAATGCTCCCTGGTTTTTAATGGTTGCTCAGCTAAAGTCACTTTGATGTAAATTAATCCTAAATGATTAAGAAATATATCAAGATAAAATGGAACTGGATAGTTAGATTGTGAAATCTTCTAGTTTCCTAGTATGACACAACACTGACAATACCGTTCTTTATGAAAATAAAAGTTAAGCAGTCTTATTATGTCAACTGAAATTAGATGAAACTAACAATATGACTAGTGTATTACATAAAAAACACTACAAAATCAAGTAAAACCAATGAAACAGTCCAAATATACACCACATAAAACACATCACACTTCAGACTACTCGTTATAAAAGTTAATAATGACGATTACAAATAAATGCACTCAAAACCATTACTTACCTCATATGTTAAATGAAAGGCGAACAATATTGTCGGTAGATGAGAAAGAACAATATGACTATCAGGATCATCACGAACATATGATAGATAAACGGTTTGTTTTTGATCACTAAAAGAAAGATTTTTATCGGAGTCCATTTTCGTGATCAACAAATTAGTTGATTTTGGTAAAAACAAAGATGGATGGACTAGTTGATTATCATATCCCAAATCTAAGAGACTGGCCAAGTTATTCCAATCTAATTCTGAAGATTCCTCAGGACCGGGTCGACGGCGTTTAGACGATTGGAAGATGTGACCTACATCTTCATATCGTTATTCATAACAATGCAAAAAATTAATGGTAGAACGTAAATTTTAACTTTTGTTCTTAAAAAACATGAAACAAATAATACGAAAATACCCGTAATGTGCTATGGGAAAATATCAGATTAAATTGCAATGAAATAGATATTTCCAGGAAATTTCGAAGCTGAGATCTGTAGAGTACTACTGCAAAAACTTCACATTCCAAGTGTATAAATCATTTTAGCAAAATAAGAAACCTATATACTTTCATTGTAAAAGACCAACTAAACAACCTTTAAATCAGGATGATTGTTACATGTGTTCGTCTACTAACTGGACAACTACTGAAAACTCAAACAAGTTAATAAGCACACTATTTGAAATAGATATACTGCTAAGCATGTTTCAAATTTGATAATTTGTATAAACTCAGTTTTTCTTAAACCCTTTTCATTCCTTTTCTATTTTTTTTTGTTTTTCTTGGGTTTTTTTGGTAAAAAACTTGTTGAAATAGCTCGTGCTGAGAATTCTATATTGTACCACATTATAATATTGAATAAAGCCATTAATAATAATAATAATAATAATAATAATGCTTACTAGGAATGATAACCGCAAACGCTTTTTTTCTAATTAAATTTCTCGAATGACCTTTGACCTTTTCTAACTGGTTGTTATTACTTCTAGTTTGCTTTCATTGTTATATATACTGAATTGCATCATTTTAGATTGTTCTGACAGAATAACAATTTTTTCGAGGTTTCGTTTTCTTGCTGTATCAGCCACTAAGCGTTGATGCGTTGTTCGCCAGCTGCCGTTATCAATTTCGCATCAGAACTATCCGTATTAGAATAGCTCATTTATTTCTTAATTCTTAAGTATCGCAGGTCAACTAGAAAACCCCAATAGCGATAATTATTTTTATCAAGATTTAACAGTTACAAATTCCTGAAACTGTAATCGCATTTGATAAGGCCATCTAGTTTTAAAATGTAGTTTGGAGATATGGGGGTTTACATATTATCATCTTACTAAAAAAAATACAAACTTCGCCTGTAGCTCTTCTAAAGTTACTGACGGTCCCATGCCCACACAAAAGAGGAGGGTTAGGCATGGGGTTGGTGACCCCATCCCATAGAAAAACTAACTCGTTAAATAAACGCTAATCAGGAAAAATAATTCAAACCTTTTAAACTCTGCCCTCCGAGATCAAGGAAGAATTATGACGCCTCATGATGAAAGCCGAGACTTCTCATAAGTCATAAGGCCGATGCCCATTCTAACAACCAGAGCAACACTCTTTATAGGTACATAGAACGTCCGAACAATGTGGGAGACCGGGAAGACCAGTCAAATAGCAATGAAAATGAGGAGATACGAATTAGCAGTACTCGTAATAGGCGAAACCCATTGGACCCAAGCTCGACAGAAAAGGCTAGATACGGGAAAGATGCTGCTGTATTCCGGTCAAGAAGGGGAAAATGCTGCACACACTCAGGGTGTTGCTCTAATGCTGTCCAGAGAAGCAGGTAATGCACTTGTAGGATGGGAATCTCATGTGAGAACTAGGAGAGGAGTTGACAAAACTTCAGATCACCACCTGGTGGTCGCCAAGATGAAACTGAAATTGGAGAAGCAGTGGAAAACTGGAGAAACAGCATTACAAAGGTTCAATACAGTCTTCCTTCGACATACTGACAAAATCAACGAATTCAATATAACTCTCAACAACAGGTTTCAAGCCTGACAAGATCTACTGAAAGAATAAGAAACTGCTATGGTGGACAAGTGGAAAGGGGTCAAAGAAGCACTAACTTCAACGTGTCACGAGGTGCTCGGCCGCAACAATCATTATCATAAGGAATGGATCTCCATTGAAACCCTCGCCAAGATTCAAGAAAGGAAGAACAAGGAGACAGCAATTAACAACAGTAGAACAAGAACAGAGAAAGTCAACGCACAAACTGAATACACAGGAGCAAACAAGCAAGCGAAGAACAGCATTAGAGCTGACAAATAGAAATATGTGGAAGAGCTAGCAACGACAGTGGAAAAAGCTATAACAGAAGGAAATATGAAACAACTACATGACACAACGAAGAAACTGACAGGGAACTATCGTAAATCAGAGATCAGTCAAGGAAAAAGAGGGAAATCCGATCATCGAATTTCAAAAACAGATGAAAAGATGGGCAGAATACTTCGAGGAACTGAAGAATAGGTCAGTACCATTGAATCGACCAGACATCAAAGCAGCACACACTGACCTTCCTATAGAAGTCACTCCGCCAACAATCGAAGAAGTCGAGATGGCCTTAAGACAAATCAAGAGCGGGAAAGCAACAGGACCTGACAATATACCAGCCGAAGCACTGAAGTCAGACATTAAAGTAACTGCAACTACGCTTCACCTTCTACTCAAAAAGATTTAAGAAGAACAAGTGCCAACGGAATGGAAAGAAGGATATCTCATCAAGATACCAAAGAGAAGGGATCTGAGGATTACAGACGCATCAGTTTGTTGTCAGTACCAGGAAAAGTTTTCAATAGACTGTGGCTCAACCGGATGAAAGTCTCAGTAGACGCTCAACTTCGAGATCAACAGGCTGTATTCCGCAAGCATCGGTCGTGCACAGACCACATTGCGACACTACGGGTCATCATTGAACAATCAGTTGAGTGGAATTCGTCACTATACATCAACTTCGTTGACTATGAGAAAGCGTTTGACAATGTGGACAAGAGAACATTATGAAAACTTCTTCGACACTATGGAGTTCCTGAAAAGATTGTCAACATTATCCTGAACTCATACGACGGACTATAGTACAAAGTCGTGCATGGGGGACAGCTGAAAGATGCATTTCTAGTAAGGAACGGAGTCAGACAAGGCTGTCTACTCTCCCCAATCCTCTTCCTTCTAGTGATTGATTGGATTATGAAGACCTCGACATCTGAGGGGAAGCACGGGATACAATGGACAGTTCAGAATCAATTAGACGACTCGGACTTCGCAGATGACCTAGCCCTCCTACCCCATACACACGAACAAATACAGACGAAGACAGCAAATGTAGCAGCAGCCTCTGCATCAATAGGCTTCAACATACACAAAGGAAAAAGCAAGATTCTCAAATACAACACGAAGAACACCAAGACAATCGCACTTGATGGCGAAAAACTGGAAGTGGAAACATTCACGTACCTGAGAAGCAACGTTGATAAACAAGGAGGATCGGATGCAGATGTGAAGGTGAGGATTGGCAAAGCAAGGGCAGCATTTCCACAATTGAAGAACATATCGAACTCAAAACAACTTAAAACCAGCATCCAGCTGAACAAGAAGTAAGGAAAAGACGTTGGAAGTGGATAGGACATACATTAAGGAAATCACTAAACTGCATCACGAGGCAATCTCTAACTTGGAATCCGGAAGGGAAGTGGAAAAGAGGAAGGCCTAAGAACACATTACGCCGGGAAATAGAAGCAGATATGAAAAGGATGAGTAACAACTGGAAAGGATTGCCCAGGACAGGGTTGAATGAAGAATGCTGGTGGGCGGCCTATGCTCCTCCACGAGGGGTAACAGGTGTAAGTAAGTAAGTAAAAAATACATGTTCAGTTTATAAGCGACTGAGAAGTGACACAAAATATCCGATATTTCGTTGAAGAGGTTATCGGAAAGCAGTGTGAATAACTAAAGAATACGTGTTCCAGCGACTTTGATTTATGAATTAATTGGCTTACTATTTTGACATTCCGAAGATACGATGTTTCCAGTGTACCGATGAGAAAGCGAAAAACCTGAAGCTGATAATATAAAATTAGCAAAACGATTCCATTCTCCAGGTCCATCAAAATAGTTTATCCCAAAATCATCTGTGTCGTCGCAATAACTTGTCTCGGGTTCTTGGAATTTATATGAACTTTTCGTTCCCGGTGCATTTGATATTACATACCAACGAGCAAAAAGCAGAAGACTTGCATCTTCAGGTAGACAACGATTCAAACTCGTTAAACATCGTTGAACTGAAAACACAATTAGAAAGAAACATTACTTTAAACAACTGTAAAAAGAAAATATCGCTAGACAATTCATTGATGTATGATAACAGAACCTACATAAGAAATAAGTGAATGACAGAATCAAAACGAAATTTACATAGATATCACTGTAATTAAAGAATACATTTTTTTGCAATTAGGTCAGAGGTTATACATACATAATAACTATACATTAAAAGCTTTAAAAGGTGGACTTAGTAAACATGTTACAATATTTGACTTTTCTAAATGTATCTAATACTTGTAAATCGAAATAAGTCAAGTACTGAAACGGTTAGCAGAAAAACGAAACTTTTTCATGAAGATAACAACATTTGAATACATTACCTATCGATAGAAGACTAGAGTTCGTTCAGGAACACATGTTTAGACTCTAATCATGCTCTAATACGAGCCTGTATTCGCTTGCGCCTCATCGGACTCAGAAAAGCCACATTAAGAAGACTCGTTAGAGTTGGACTCAGTGACGAGAAAGCCAAAGGTAAATTCCAAAAACATCTGAAGTCACACATGGACAATTTTGAAGACGAGACTGACCCTGATGTTTCTTGGTAAGATATACGAACAACTGTGGAAACAGCAGAAACATTTGTTAGGTCACGAATAAGCAGTGGAATTCTATTAAGTCTATTGCACCGACTACTACTCACTGCCTTCTCGTGGCATTACTGTTGTTTACGAAAGTGAGAGGACGAAAAGCGAATGTCCGGCGCTTTAACCGGGTTGGTGGACATGGAAAGTTCACCTAGGGGAGTTGGAAAACCCTCATTCCAAACCAGTGGTGCACATGGGCTCCAGTATCCTGAGGGAACAAATGGCGTACGAATCAACCGTTGATCACCGGATACCATGGGACTGCATCTCCTCACGATGCTCCATTGCATTGTGGATCAGACATTCAGGTCAAAGGCTCTGGGTGTGGCCCCCTAAGAAAACCACCTGCTTCAGTTTGGGCACCTGGGCAGTATCACAGCCCTCACACAAATCGAATGAGATTTGTGAGGCGCATATTTATCTGGTGCTTCCTTGTACCAATATTTATGTGTTTAAATAAAATAAAATAAATAAAATAATTGCACCGACAGACTCTTGTAAACTTATCCCATCAGGCTCCGGGCACGAAAACTAGCGATAAAAAGTCTGATCTAGATTAAGTAAAAGTCTCAGAAACGACTGTGAGCAGTGTTCGGCAACGGAAGCAAAAGAGATGGAAAACACAGAGAGTGTAGTTAACACTAGACAGCTTTCCATGCTAATAAAAGAAACCGGAATTAAGAAGTCAAGCGCAAATAAAACGATCTCACAAAAAGACGACACTTATCTGCTCTCGACTGTGACGTTTAGAACGATGAGGAGAACACTTTAAAGAACAGTTCGACTGGTCTTCAGTTACTCTATAGCTACCCACCATTACCAAACAGCTTGAATGGAACATTGACATAGACCCCCGACTTCAAATGAAGTTCAAAAAAGGCTATAGCCAATTTGAAACAAAAGAGTAGCCGGTCTACATGGATTGGCTCCATAGGTCTTTAGGTATGGTGGTCCAGCTTAAGCGATTAGGTTGACTAATATTTTGGCTAAAATCTGGGAGTTGGACGTAATCCCATCTGACTGGTCTCTATCACTGATTGTCCCAATATATAAGAAGGAGACAAAATCATCCTGTGATAAATATAGAGGGGCTAGTTTGACTAATGTAGCATCTAAAATACTAGCCTCAATAATTATCGGACGCCTAACATAGACTCGTGAACTGCAAGCACGAAAAAGTCAGGCTGACTTCAGACCTGATCGTGGCTGCATAGACCACATATTCATCATTCGTCAGGTTTTAGAACACAAACATGCTTATCGGCGCCCGACAGTGTCGGCCTTTGATAACAGACCGAGAGGTAACATTAGTCATATTAGGTGAGAACGCTGATAATATTCAATGTTTTGATAGCACTGAGCAACAATGCCAGGATGTTCGGAATGCGTTTCTTTCCTTCCAAATGCAAGTTGTCATTCCAGGACTGACCTGCGTCAACACCTGAACTAAGGAGAGGGAGTGGAGTAGTCGAACTCGTCGACAACTTCACATATCTTGGAAGTCTGATCAGTCCTAATGGATTGATGTCTGACGAAATCTCAGCACGGATTCAAAAAGCTCGTTTGGCATTTGCCAACTTACGTCACCTATGGTGAAGACGAGATATCCGTCTATCAATTAAGGGACAAGTATAGTGCGTAGCAGTTCGCTCTGTTCTACTTTACAGCTGAGAAACGTGGACATTAAGGGTAGAAGATACTCGTGAGTTACTAGTATTTGACCACAGATGTCTTAGGTATCTTGCTCGCAACTGTTGCAATTACCGGGTAAGTAATACTGAGGTTGTATGCAGGGTATTGGGAAATGATGATAAATCAGCTAAAGATGTTGATCATTTTCACCAACTGTAATAGTTTGGTCACGTGTTACGCAAGCCTGAACACCGATTATCACGACGCGTTATGCTGACTACTATTGGCGATGGTTGTAAGAAAATAAGAGGCGACCAAACCAAAATGTGGCATCGGTCCTTGAAGTCACTAACTTCTAGTCTGAGCCAAGTTGGTAGATGCAGACTACTTGGGTGTGGTCCGAGTAACTATCGTAAACAATGGTTAGAGCCTCTGTGTGACATGGCTCAGAATCGATCGCAATGGAGTAGGTGTATACACTCATTTTCTTACCTTAAACTTTGAGAATATACCAGTCATGATTACTAAACTTCTTTGACTTAAATAACCAACATTCAATAGACAATCCCAGAGAACAGTCCTGTCCAATGAATCGAAAGCGGCCCCAATATTAAGAAACACTACGATTGTTGGCATGTGATAAGTATGGCGGTGTTCTAACATTTGGTGGAGGGTGAACATATGATCAATACATCCTCGACCAGAACGAAAACCAGCCTGCTCCTCGGGTTTTGAAAAATCTACGAAGTATGACTAAAGGCAATAGTTTGGACGCAATCGGAAGTAGACTTATCCCCTGATAGTTGTTACAGAAACGACGTGAGCCCTTACTAAAGATAGGGACAACTATCGACTCATTCCATGATGTTGGGACACTCATTAATTGGCAAACTTTTGTAAACAATTCAGTCAGTTCCTTAACCAAAAAGTCACCACCATCATTAAAAATGGCCGGAGGTAAGTCATCTGCGTCTGGTGATTTGCAGCGTTTCGAGGACTGGAGTTGCTTGTAGACTTCCGCCTCGTGTACAGTGGTAGCTGATCACGATGTGATCAATCTGAGTCACGGGCTTGAGATGCAGAGGGAGGACGCCAGGTGGCACATCGGTGGTGGCTGTTCCGGTAGTTAGTGCTAGCCAGAAACAGTTTGTGGTCTGTGCACGGTTGCAGTAGATGGTCCCCGTTATCTGTCCTGCAAACAACAAGTCCCCATCGGCCACCTAAATGACTCTCTTCTGTGCCTATACGCCCGACTTGTGCATTCAAGTCTCCGACTAGTACTACAATATTTGTCGAACGCACTTTCTGGAGAAGAACAGTTAACTGGTGTTGGAATTCATCATTGATTGCATCCGGGCTGCAATCTGTCAGAGCATAGGCGGAGATGACGAAAAGACATTTTTCATCACACCGATTTCTTCTCAATTTGTTGGAGCTTTCTAATCTAACAGAACATAACCGACTGTTAATGGGAATCCTAACGATTAGTGCTGCCTCAGCTCTAGCGCTTAGTGCGACACCGACGCCAGCAAGACCAGACGAAGATGCCACAGGGTCCCCGGATAAACGCACGTGAAACAAGCTTTTCAGAGCGACAGATGGAGAGCTAATTTGTAGTACTTCACTAGAGTCTTGAATACAGTTCTTGAATAGACGACAAACATTGATGTTAAGACTTTCTAAAGATATAGCTAACTCTATCTGTTGTTCGATCTGCATTAGTGTGTGAATGTTGAAAGAGGCCAGTTTGAATGGTATACGTAGTTTCAGAAAGGCTGGTTCAGAATTGTTATTCGGTGGTGTCATTGAACTATCGACCAGTCAGTGGCTCGATATCGTTTAGATAGAACAGGGTTCCCACCATAGACGAGCTGCTGTATAAGTTGAAAAATAAGGATACACAAAGTGAGAATAGAAGAGAGTAGATAAGTGACGTAGTATATAAAATAAGAAAAATAATAATGAATGTTATCAAACGAGTGTGAATTGTCTGAATTGTAATTGAAGAAAGAATATTATTCCCAGTATTAATTGTCATTTCATTTCATTTGTGTGTGGACTACCCGAGTGCCCAGACCGAAACAGGTGGCTTTCTTAGGGAATCACACCCGGAGCCTTTGACCTAAAGGTCTAACCCACAGGGCAGTGGAGCAACCTAAGGAGATGCAGTCTCATGGTACCTGGTGACCAATAATTGGTTCATACATTATTTGTTCCTTCAGGATACTGGTGCCTATGTACACCATTGGTTTGGAATTAGGGTTTCCCAACTCCCCTAGGTGGACCCTTCATGTCCATATATATATATATCTATCTATCAATTAGTCGCATTCCAGGTCTTTAAATCTAGGGTTTTCAATCCAACAATTGTGATCGCACGGACACCAGTAAACAAGTCCATAACTCAAGATACGATTCAACTAATTGTCATCTCCATGGTCTGATGCTCATATGAGTCTAACAACCTTTGACATTTTACCAATTTATTCACAAGCCAGACAGTATAGTTAGTTGCAGTAGGGATCGGTAAGGATTAACCTATACACTACTTAAAATAGCCCAGTTGACGAAGATTCGCAACATCAACTGATTTATCATCTCTAACTTATGCTTCCACGTAATGTATTATTAGTTGTTTAGTGGTCCCAACAAACGTGTACAATGTTTAGAAAGCACCAATGACTGGATACTAACAAACTATGTATGTTATCTACTTCAAAGGACCATGTTTTATGCCAGTTTGTTAATGAAGAGTGAACTGCTGAGAAGCATACTAACAGCAAGATAGACAAATGTATACTTCTCCTGAGCTATAGGTGGTGTAAATTGATAAATTTCGAGTTACATTTGTGTCCTGATGTCTTTAGAAGCAAATTCATTAGTGTAAATGAGATGTCTAAATAATACAAAGTGGTTAAAGCATTTCAGTCAGTCAGTCACAACGTAGAACTTCGTACGTACGTACATCAGTTCGAGTTGCCATACCACATTACCACAGAGATGCAGTTGTCGATTCAAATCCCATAGTGGTAGAAGTAGTAGGAGTATAATCAGAAATCCAAAAGATTAGGGTTTGAAGAAATTATTGAAGGAGTATAGTACAGTGAAATAAATTTGGAAAGAGAAAAAGATAGAGGCATGAGGAATTCAGAAGATTAGAAGTTGGTAGAACACAAAGAGTGGATACACCTTCGCCATTGCAAACGATTTTGAGCCATGTCACTCAAGGTCTCTCTAAAGCATTTACTCCCTATGGTTTAACTAGGAACTGACAGTATGGATGGTATGGATATTCATGCAAACCTGGGAGTTGTGTTCCATGATTTGACCATAACAAGACTAGTAGATCACAAATTTTGTGTGCATGGTAGAAGAATCAATTTGGAACTAAGCTGATTCTCAACGAACTACTTAAATGAAATGTTAGATAGTCAGGTGAATATAGAGCAGGTAACAACGTAGATTGTAAATTTTCAAGTTAACTATGAAAACGGTTCTAACTAGTTTGCGTTCAAGTAAGAAAGAAATCCATGATGGCATTTAGAATGCGGTACAAAAAACCAGGTTAAAATATAAACTTGGCAACAGCGTGTCAATTTAATGTATTCTTATTTTAATAGTTGAATTCATGGGTCGATCTGAGCTAGACGATCACTGAAAACCTGGAAACACTAGATGGCTGTTTCGTCATGGTACATGACTCCTCAACAGTGTGCATCCACGATCCCGCATGCGTGACTCGAGCCCAGGACCTTCGGTCTCGCGCGTAAATGCTTAACTCCTAGACCACTGAGCCGGCATCCAACGGTGTTACTGTCTAGCTTCAATTCATTGATTACACAATACAGCCTAGAAATGTGAAGCACTGAAATATGTACTGTACTTACGAAAAAGACAGTAGAAATGATAACTAGAAAACAGTCTTTTACTGCATGGAAACTTATATTTTCAACAATATGATTTAGACTGAAATGTTTAGCGTAATTACTGGTAGTTTGCCACCTCATTCCTTAAAGCCAAATAAGTGAACTGCAATTTTAATCTGAAACCTAATGGTTGAGAAGTAACTGTTTCAAATACCAAGCCGCCGACTCCACAAAGTTTAGACAATAATTAACTAAATTAAAAGCAAATGTACGAAAAAACTGACCCATTTCGTTTTCTGCAATGGTCGGCAAATACACACGAAGAAATTTATTCGAATCTAGGGAGTCCACACATTTATCCACGCCAGTAACTTTACTTTGATTTGCTATCGTGAAAGCGTTCCCAGCTGGATCACACAAAGAAATTCTCTCCATAGATTTTACTTCGGATTGATTGTTCGGTGCATTTATTTCACTGCAATTTTCGGTATCAACGTTTGAATGGTTCGTTTCGCAAAGATGGTCATTACCCTGATTGGTACGCAGTTCCTTGAAATTTGCCAGCTACACACAAATATAAAACGATAAGTAGAGATAGAAATGTTAATTCCTTTACAACTTTTAAGGGAAACAAATCACAGCACATAAGAACTCTCAAGTGAAAGACAAAATCGATATTAACAATAAGGATTTTCAGTGACTGGTTTAAGCAGTGCAATTAAAGTATATTTTCCCTTCACACTTAATACGCCGGTTGATGTAAAATGAGGTTGGTAAAAATTATGATTAGCCCAGAGAAAATACTAGTTATTTACTCATCTTTCCGATCAGCAACAAATAATGCCTGATAGTGATAATTTACGAATGTTTAACAGAGAATCTAGATGAAGAAAATGAAAAATTCGGCAAGCTTCTGTTCCAAAGATATTCAAAATGATTTAGGAAAAAATACAGAAGTGACACGGCATGACGGAATCTGACTGACGACTTTAGATAAGTTACATAAGTATCATTTTCGATTTTCAGTAAAGTTGACACTCAACTGTTCTTTCATAAATGCGCTTCCTGAGTCTTACGTTTGTCCTTTTTTGAGGATTTTGGTTTAAGATTGAGAAAACATTTTATATACTGTACATATATTACCCAGCTAAATACAAAACTTTGTGAAGTAATCAAGCATAAAACTTGAGCGATGAAAATGCTTGAACGGAGAAAAACAATATTTGCAGGATATAACTGTTATTTACTTCGGTGCATTAGTTTGATTACGAAGTAAACATGCATTTGGTTTAACTATCATGACAAATTAGAATGAAATAATCGAAAAATGTAGATATTACTACCATAATTATTTACATTCATAATCACCAATTCAGATGTCCTTCAGATAATTAAAATAACTCTTACTGTAATTGAATAAGAAAAAGAGAATTCAGCGAAGAAAATTTTCTTTTCGACGAAATCATTTACTTAAGCTGTACATTCGTATATATAGTTATATGGAGTATATATATATATATATATATATGCCTCTACATTGATAAATGTAGAAATTTTACACACACTGCCATACAATATTTATGTATTTATAACTGCACAGCTTTAGGATGGAGTCACCGCAAAAAAAGACCCACAAAAATATTTGTCTGACAAATTGTTAAAAGATCTGTCAAGTTTCTTTCAAACAGACAATTATCCTTCTTAACATTGATACCTCTTTTCAGTTCTTTGCCATTGATTGGACTTTATCAAATATCATATGTATTCGATTCAACATAGAGTGTATCTCTGCATGTTACAGGCTGTTTGTAATTAAAGAGAGGTTTCGAAATAAATTCACGTTGCTTTTTTCAATAAGATCAAAAAAGGGAGAATAAATACATATTAAAAGGTTAAAAAAACAGTTAAAATGCATACATCACTTGAGAGTTCGCTAAAACAAAAGGTTTTTTTATTGGAATTTGATCCAGATGAAACTGTATAAGACTGATCAATCAACAATTGGTTTGAAGTTATAATAGATATACATTTAGACAGCACTGAATAAACTGTATTCTGATGCCAGCGTTCAGCGTTCAAGAGATCAGATCGCACAATAAAGGGTATCTCAACAATCGACGCAGCATGTCTCAACCTTGATTTTACGATTTGTGGACCACCTACGCCAAGGTACATGCTGAGAAGCGGGGGTGGACTTAAACCAAGTAAACAAATCTGATAAATGAGAAATAAAATATAAAATAATTTTCGTAACAAGATGCGTTAAGATTGAAAATATAGTAAAATAAGGGACTTATGTTTATTTTAATAACCTGCTAGATTTATGAAACACTGAAGTGAAATAATTAATGCAACAGTTTGAAAACGGAGAAAAACTGTGTCAAGAGCATGATTAATGTAAATTATTTTTAGTAAAATTATATTATACTAGTAAATAAACCTATTAGTTTATCACACACTGAGAATAAAGAAACGAATATCTCGGGTAAAATATGGAGTCAACAGTTTTGTAAGCACTTATCAGTTGACTAGATTCCATCACTGTGTATTATTTAAGAATTAACAATATATATTCATTATCCAACGTCAAAGATATCATCAACACCAATTCAAAACATTCTCGCCGTATGGTTTTATGGAAACTAACGATAGGGTATTTTAAACTCTTATTCGTAATATGTATTATGGTTGTCCACCAAAAATGCTATTTATTAAGCAAGTGCCTCAAAACAACTTTCAAACCTCTCACTAAATAAGCACCATTACAAATAACGTAAGATGAAATATACTCTATTTATGATTGCTTGATGAAAATAAACCGGGAATAAGAAAAAATATTATCGATGAAAAAACAAATACCTTTTTGATTCCTGTGTATAAAACTATGCCAACTCCAGGTTCCAAACAAATAGTTATTCGTGAATAAGGCACATACACAGCATCACAGGCTCGAAGATAAACTAAATCACCAAAAACTGTTTGAGAGTCGTTAAGCTGCTTGCAATCAAGATATTTATCATTTATGCGCAAACAAGCTAATCTGGACTGTCTACGGCCGGAAACAGATGTACCAGTAAGAAAACAAACCCACGAGGTAGATGTTATATCAACAGCCAAAAATGCACTTGCTTTCACTGGACCAGACTTTTGTTGTGGAAGAATAACATTTTTATCCTTTGATACTGCCTGGGAACTGATAGAAATATAAAAACTGATAATTCTCAAGCTTAGGTTATTACTAACCTGACTTATGAACAAGTAAACATACAGAATCAAAGCAAGATTACCACTGATTGATAAAACGATATGAGATAAGTACATCAATATAAAATAAACTGAAGTTATTGCAAAGCTTGCGTAAGGACCGAGAAGCCTGGTGGTCGGACCGTGCCAACGAGTTGGAAGCAGCAGCTGAATCTGGTGACTACCGGAAGCTCTCTCAACTCATCCGAGCCACTGACAGCAAGAAGTCTGATGTGAGCGAAACAATCTGTGATGACGGGACGCCAATCATTAACATCTATCGACATCTTGGACGATGGGTAGTTTTTCGAGGAGCAAGTCAACTGGTCTACTGTCTCGACAACATCGATCAGACTGTCCTGCCCTCCATAACCTGTGACGACTGATCCATCTAACGAGGCGAAAGTCTACAAGCAACTCCAGTCCTCGAAACGCTGCAAATCACCAGACGCAGATGACTTACCTCCGGCCATTTTTAATGATGGTGGTGACTTTTTGGTTAAGGAACTGACTGAATTGTTTACAAAAGTTTGCCAATTAATGAGTGTCCCAACATCATGGAATGAGTCGATAGTTGTCCCTATCTTTAGTAAGGGCTCACGTCGTTTCTGTAACAACTATCAGGGGATAAGTCTACTTCCGATTGCGTCCAAACTATTGCCTTTAGTCATACTTCGTAGATTTTTCAAAACCCGAGGAGCAGGCTGGTTTTCGTTCTGGTCGAGGATGTATTGATCATATGTTCACCCTCCACCAAATGTTAGAACACCGCCATACTTATCACATGCCAACAATCGTAGTGTTTCTTGATATTAGGGCCGCCTTCGATTCGTTGGACAGGACTGTTCTCTGGGATTGTCTATTGAAGGAAAGTGTGCCTGGCAAGTTTATTACAATCTCTTTACATTCTCAATGTTATGGTGTAGCTCATATATATTTAGTGCCCCTTTGTTTTAATATTTATGTTCAAATAAATAGTAATAAATAAATAAATAACCATAACCAGGTACATGTTGACAGTATTTATGACAATCTTCACGAAGACAATTACACTTTTTGCGAAAACCATGTCACTTATACAATAGTTATCATAACTCAAAAATTCATTAAAACATTTTTCAGCCTCCAAAATTTCACCGAAGTGATTGGGTCAGATATAAATAGGCAATTATCAAAAGTGAAATGAAAACACTCAAAATTCAAAACATGAAATATAACAGGAGACAAAAAGTGGTTGTATATATATATATATATATATATATATATATATATATATATATATATATATATAACATTTAGTGTAGAATAATAACTCACGAGTTACATAAGTTTCCATAAAGAGCTTTACTTTTCGTAGTACTAGGACTATTAGAAATAAGTGATTCAGTTTTAGATGCACGAAAAGGTAAATTCGGTAGACGACGACTTAGCAAAGCAAAACGACCGGAAGCCGGTAGATCAGAGACATCTATAAGAAGAATAAAATACAATAAATTCGTAACAAAATTATATAAGAACTGTTACACTTAAATGCATAAAATAACGCTACTTGTATCCTGAAAACACATTTTTCATGTCTCACCACATTTAATGTAAAAATCAATGGCGCTAAATTCAACTTGAGGACACCAACTATTTTATCTGTAACCCAAGTGAAGTTATTCGGATGATGACAAAGAAAAGAGAGCATTTCATTTAACAAGAGTTATAGTAACCTTGTGATATCAAGAAAACTCTTGTTTAGAAACCAGTAGAAATAAATTTTGCTATTTTATTTATGATCCTACTGGTCACTCATAGAACAGTATCAATATGGTAGTCTCATAAACAAACTAGTACAAAGAAAAATCCTCACATTTAAAAAATAATACAATACATTTACTTACAAGGAACAAAATTACCAACGTTTTCTTTTTTGTAACTGGATTCATTATTTAATGGACTGAAAAGACCAATGTTATTTAGTGTACTATGCGATCGCGCAGAAGAAGTCTCTGACCATACCAGACGCAAACAAACTTTCGGTAGCAGTGGCTCATCTAGTAAATTTTCAACCTGATCGGGATCAATAGTGTAGAGCTTTTCGGCTCGAACAGGAGTTTCATGCAAATTAGAAGAATAAATATTGAGTCTTGTAGAAGAGCTAAACGTGACAAGCAAAATGAAAATCACGTAATAATTGCTTAATTAAAGAAACAAGAGGTGTCTATTAAACAATATGGTTCATATAAAATACAACCAAAACAGACTACTTTCAATCTAAAGTAGTAAACAATCAAAATCCTAATAAATTATCCGAAAAATCGTTTTTAACGAAAAACCCTACAGTAGCCCTGTCCAAAGAACCCAAAGCGATCCTGATATTAAAAATTACAACAACTGTTGATTTGAGAATGAACTAAGATGTGCAGGCATTTGACGAAAGGTGGAAATGAAGGCAACGAATCCACGAATTGAAGAAAAATTGGCCTGTTTCCCGCGAGTCGGAATTTTAAAAGTTTTGCTCAGTTTGAAGGGAATGATAAAAGTTAATATTTCAGATCTGATCAGCAACTAGTTTACACTCATAATTATTATATGCATAACGTAGTTCATTCTTGAGGAGCCCCCAAATGCCCTGGTACGACCGAGAGTGGGAGAGTCCACTCTCCCTCTCCAAATGCTCTCACATGGCCACGCGAATATATAGCCTCTGTCAGGGAACTCCTACTCACTGCCTTCTCGTGGCATTACTGTTGTTTACGAAAGTGAGAGGACGAAAAGCGAATGTCCGGCGCTTTAACCGGGTTGGTGGACATGGAAAGTTCACCTAGGGGAGTTGGAAAACCCTGATTCCAAACCAATGGTGCACATGGGCTCCAGTATCCTGATGGAACGAATGGCGAATGAACCTGTTGTTGGTCACCGGCTACCATGGGACTGCATCTCCTCACAATGCTCCACTGCCTTGTGGATCAGACCTTTAGGTCAAAGGCTCGGGGTGTGGCTCCCTAAGAAAACCACCTGCTTCGGTTTGGGCACCCGGGCAGTATCACAGCCCACATACAAATAAATGAAATGATGAATTCTATTGACGATACTATCCTCGCTCATACTAGAAGCAAGACAATTTACATTATTATTATGATTATCACCATTATTATTATTATTATTATTATTATTATTATTATTATTTACTACGTCGCTTTTTCACTCCCTTTATTCACAAATTGTGTATCCTTCCTTTCCAACTTATGCAGTAGCTCGCCCATGGTGGGAACTCTGTCCTATCTAAACGATCTCCAGTCACTGTCTGGTTGAAAGTGAATGCTTCCACCGATTACGAATACTGAAGCAGTCCTTCTCAAACGACGTACGCCGTTCAAGCTGGCTTCCTTCAACGTTCGCACAATAATGCAGATCGGACAACAGATTGGGCTGGCTATGTCTTTAGAAAGTCTTAATGTTGATGTTTGCTGTCTATCCGAAACTTGTATTCAAGACTCTAGTGAAGTACTACAAATCCGCTCTCCATCTGTCGCTTCGAAAAGCTGGTTTCACGTGCGCTTATCCGGGGACTCTTTGGCATCTTCGTCCGGTCTTGCTGGCGTTGGTGTTGCACTAAGCGCTAGGACTGAGGCAGCACTAATCGATAGGATCCCCATTAACAGTCGGTTATGTGCTGTTAGATTAGAAAGCTCCAACAAATTGAGAAGAAATCGGTGTGATGAAAAATGTCTTTTCGTCATCTCCGCCTATGCTCTGACAGATTGCAGCCCGGATGCAATCAATGATGAATTCCAACACCAGTTTACAGTTCTTCTCCAGAAAGCGCGTTCGACAGATATTGTAGTACTCGCCGGAGACTTGAATGCACAAGTCGGGCGTATAGGCACAGAAGAAAGTCATTTAGGTGGCCGATGGGGACTTGTTGTTTGCAGGACAGATAACGGGGACCGCTTGCTGCAACTGTGCACAGACCACAACCTGTTTCTGGCCAGTGACGACTGATCCACCAAATGAGGCGGAAGTCCGCAAGGAACTCCAACTCCTGAAGCGCTACAAGTCACCTGGCCCAGATGACTTACCTCCGGCTCTTTTTAAAGATGGTGGTGACTTTCTGGCTAAGGAACTAACGGTGTTGTTTCCAAAGGTTTGGGAGCAAGAAAATGTTCCAACATCATGGAATGAGTCAATAGTCGTCCCTATCTTTAAAAAGGGTTCACGTTGTTCCTGTAACAACTATCAGGGGATAAGTCTACTTCCGATTGCGTCCAAACTATTGGCTTCTATCATTCTTCGCAGGTTGTTTAAAACCCGAGAACGATTGACTCGCGAGGAGCAGGCTGGTTTTCGTTCTGGTCGAGGATGCATTGATCACATCTTCACCATCCGCCAAATGTTAGAACACCGTCATACTTATCGCAGGCCAACAATCGTAGTGTTTCTTGATATCAGGGCTGCCTTCGATTCGTTGGACAGGACTGTTCTCTGGGATTGTCTATTGAAGAAGGGTGTGCCTGAGAAGTTCATTAACATCTTAAAGGCCCTGTATACGAACACCTCAGGCAGAGTGAGGGCATACAACCACCTTTCTCCCTTGTTCCATTCGAGCAGTGGGGTTAGGCAGGGTTGCTCAATCTCACCATTCCTCTTCAAATTTGCCATCGACGACATCCTGGAAATAGCTCTGATGGATGTAAGTAATGGCGGTGTGGATATGTAAAACCTGGCCTCTCCGAGTTGAGGATGTTAGACGTCTCTCTGTGTTCGATCATCGTTGTCTCCGAAGGATTGCTGACATCCAGTGGCAACACCATGTTAGTAATGCAGAGGTTCGGCATCGTGTGTTCGGGCACAGAGACGATAATTCAATTGGTGTCACCATCTTGAAACACCGACTTCGGTGGCTTGGACATGTTTTACGAATGTCGTCCCAGAGACTTCCACGTCGTGCATTATTTGCCGACCCTGGGACTGGTTGGAAAAAGCGGAGAGGAGGTCAGTGTATGACATGATGTCGTGGCATGAAAGAGAGCTGCAAAGGGCTAGCTTCTGTTGGTCCTTCACGACTCCCTGGCTGGGGTCCGAGAGATGGTGCAACACAGTGGCTAGAGACGTTATCAGATATGGCTCAGAATAGAAACCAGTGGCGATCCTGCTGCAACCTTCTTTTACTTTCTACATAAAGAGTGGTTCTAACTTTCTTAACTGAAAGAGTCTTCTGGTTGTACATTTCAGTCCGCCTTATCTTTTCATCCCTTCTCTTCCTACTTTCATTATTTTGTGTGGCGCATATGTATCTGGTGCCCTTTTGTACCAATATATATGTGTTTAAATAAATAAAGTAAATAAATTCTTGAGGAGGTGCACAATGATAACCCTCTTCAAGAATTACACAACACACTTTGCCGGGTCTCTTCGAACAGTTCAGTAAGCACCCAGATCAAAAATCCGCCTACATCCTTTAGAGTTGGATGTTAGTCACCTAATTTTAATAAAACTTCGCGCTTAAAATGCCTACATTCGTTGACATACTTGCGATCCACAGTTGACGGGAAAAAAACACAAAAATACGAAATCGAAACGTCATGAAGGAATCATGTAAACTCACAGTCGTCCACGTAATGTAGTCATGTTGATTGAGTTGTGCTTTGGAGTTTGAATGCTAACTACTGGTTTGGGTGTGCAAATATTTCCTGCCTGCTGTGCTTGTACAAGAGATCCCCTTCTTAAAAGAAAACCCGACGGACTGTTGGCTGTACATTGCAAATGGCTCAAGTTGTTAGGTGTGACATTAGAAAGACGGCTGATGTAAGAATCGAGGTTCGTAGGCGTAAAAGTAGCAGACTAGACAAACAAGAAACAGAATGTACACAAAACAATTTATGAAAAAAACAGAATCAATAAACTTATGGAAAATAGTTAAGTCAGCCGAGACAGTATAGAACCTGGGATAAATGTACATTAGCACAAGCTGTTATATTAGCACAGAGATGGAATGAAAAAGGGAATGAAAAGTAAGTCGAAATAACAGTAGTATCAATGATAGTAGGAAAGAAGGACGATTGATGAATGAAGCTCAGAAAGAAGAAATGGGTCTAAGGAATAAAAAGTAAGAGATAATGCTGGAGATCAAGACAAATAAAGGAATGAGAGTAGATGTATCTACTCCCTTGAGAACGATTTTGAACCCATTAACCTCCACTAACCATTGGTTGCAATTATCACACAGTTTGCATTTATAAACACAACTCAGAGTCACTGACTTCAAGCATGGATTTTATGTCTTGATTTAGCCCCTTTGATTTCTTCCAACTTAATCATACACAAGCCAAAATTCTAAGTCTAGGTAAACGGTAATTGGGTATAAGTAACACATAACTCAATCGATGAATACTTGGAGCCTCACTAAACAATTCCCCATCTTTCCTCACTACTCTGTACATTATGTCAGCATCACTCACTGGGTAGTCCCAATACATACCAGTGATGTTTCTAAGACACTTACGGTTCAATACTACTAACCATCAAGTTTTCTCTACTCTTAAGGGGAACGTCCCACAACCATAAAGTAGAACAATGAGCTCTTATTCACTATGCTCGCCTCTTGGTTGGTAAATAAACATTTTGCCTGTCCCAGATGATACAAAGCGAGCTATCCGAATGTGTTCATACATTTCGTCAAGGACCAACCCATCACAGTTTATCAAACTGTCAGAACAAGGGCAGTGGTCGGGGCGCGCAATTACTTAACTCAGTATAGTCAGTAAAATAGTTAACGCAAATCACTCTACTTCCTAAGGATGAAACACTATGCATTTGAACAGAAGTGACTTATAGACTGATTTGTCATTTGAGCTAAAAGTAAAATAAGTATTTATGTAAAAGGGTATAATTTAGTATCGTTTAAAATTTACCAAACCGACCTTTTATACTTTGGTAGAATAATAATATGATGCAAAATGGATATTTTAGCACTAACCTACTTCAGCTGGAAAGCTGAGTAGCAGCATTGGTCGTAACATGTAAAAATAATCCAACTTAATGCCAATTATATGATTTCGCAATCGGCAAATGAATGAGGCTAGTTTAGTCGCCACTACTTTGCCGAAATTGATAGTAGTCTTTATAAGCAACACCCAACATAACACCACTGTTTGAATTGTAGAACCCGTTACTATAAATGAAGCTAATAACAAGACAACGAAACTAGTATACACCATGAAAAATGAAACATACCAGGGATTGACCAGGAGATCGACGATTGCCACTATGATTAAGACGAAAAGATTGCTTTTCAGTTCTCGTTAGACGTGATAAGGATGCGGCGAAAGGACTCAAACAAATGGTGGAGTTTGGTGAACACTGGATGGAATGTTCATCAAAAGTACTCAAATCTTTATCAAGACTTTTAACATGCTTCACAGATTCAGGTTGATAAACCAGACCAGTCAACGCATGTGTAGCCACACTGGCGCGGCCATCGGCATCCATTTGATACAAATATATGTAGTCCTAAACAAAAGACAAACGTTATAATGTATTAGTTATATCTTGGGTAATATTTTGACAACCCCTCCCCTCTCACCATAAAAGTGTTTATTTACAGGATATCGAAAATTACTATTGTATGTGCAATTTAGCTTTACATGTTATAATTAACCTTTAGTTTTTACGTAGAATAATAATCTTAAAATATCCTATTATTCAAAAGCGCACGAATAAGTTTATTTCAGTTTTCAGCAAAAACAGGAGTCAATAAGAAAATAAAGATTGCAGAGATGTTTATGAAGAACTAAAAGGAAAATAATTTCAGACTAAGGGCTATCATAAATAATATCTACTAGTGATAAAAAGGTATGAAATAGATGTCTCACTGCTGATGAACTACAATTTCAGTCCTACTGAATACTCATTCATGAAGGTACGAAGTATTTTGATCTGCGCATACGACTATGCTACCCAAAACAGAGTAGGTAATGTGGGTAAAATTTAATCACTGTAAACCGTATATGTTCGCTTTATATCCTCACCGACATCCTGAAACTGATCGTTTTTTCAATGACCAACCGATCTCATTAAAATCGAGCAATTTTATTTTTCCGATTTTCTAACACATATAACAGGTCAAAGTATCTAGTGGCTTCTAAAAGCGTGCAGTAACTACCGTAAATTATAATTACCAGTCTACTAGTTTTCTTCGAATGAGTGACATCTACCTAAAAATATTCCAAAACAAACTAAAGATATCGCTTAAAAATTCAGCCCCCAAATGCCCTCGTACAGAAGAGAGTGGAGAGAGTCCGCTCTCCCTCTCCAAATGCTCTCACATGGCCACGCGTATATAGCCTATGCCAGGGAAGCCCTACTCACTGCCTTCTCGTGGCATTACTGTTGTTTACGAAATTCAGAGGACGAAAAGCGAATGTCTGGCGCTTTAACCGGGTTGGTGAACACTGCGAGTTTACCTAGGGGAGTTGGAAAACCCTGGTTCCAAACCAATGATGCGCATGCACTCCAGTAACTTGAGGGAACAAATGACGTATGAAATAATTGTTGGTCACCAGCTACTGGCTGGGGTCTAAGAGATGATGCAACACAGTGGCTAGAGACGTTATCAGATATGGCTCAGAATAGAAGCCAGTGGCGATCCTGCTGCAACCTTCTTTTACTTTCTTCAAAAAGAGTGGTCGTAACTTCTTTAACTGAAAGAGTTCTGGATGTATATTTCAGTTCCCCCCCCATCATTACTCTTATATTTTTTATATATGCATCTTATTCCTTTTCTCTTCCCATTCTCATTGTTTTGTGTGGTGCATATATATCTGGTGCCCCCTTGTACCAATATTTATGTTTAAATAAAGAAATAAGTAATAAATAAATACCGACATGTTAATGTAAAATCTTTTTTTAATATACAAGTAAAATAGTTATTTCAGTACTTACATGTGACGAAGCCTTCTCTAATAGCCAAACAGAATGTAACCTGGTTAAGGAGTGATATGTTATAACCAAATTGAGCGATGCAATAACACCAATTACTTTTAGATGTATATCACTGACGAAACCTATTCCAAAGCCTCCATTAGGCAAAGGAACTTTTAAGATAACAGGAGCAGCTTCATCAAGTGGGTGTGTGAGGCTGAACATTGAAAACAACGCACATGAACTCGTAGGTGTTGTGTTAGGATTGTCGAACCTGACTTCATAATTATTTGGCTGACGTTCAAGAAGAATAAGAGTATTCAGAGACCAAACCTCTCTTATACGACATGGAATCCGTACCGTGTAGTGTTCTCCACAATCATCAATAAAAGTCATCCGTTCCGACTCAAAAATAGACAATCCTTCTTGAATTCGTCCAGGTATATTCTCATTTACATAAGGCTACAAGTCAAGCGTTTCAAAACAAACTGATTATGATTCACTGTACTATATACACAAAACACGTAGTAAGGGAGGAAACCTATTAACACTACTTTTTCACGCCCATTTAGGATCTGAACATAAAATTACTTACGTATTCAAATTCACTAGATGAAAGTCCGTGAAATTGATAATTTATGAAAATTAACGTTATGATTAAAATTTTACTGTTCGTATTAGTAGCGTATCATTCTGACCACTAATTCAAATATCTTATCTCTATACTAAGTATTTATACAAATGGATAAAGCGAACATTCGAAGTATGAAAGATTTTGAGGTTGTGTAGCGAATATAATCGATGCTCCCAAATACCCTGGTACGGCTGAGAGTGGGGAGAGTCTACCCTCCCTCTCAAAATGCTCTCACATGGCCACGCGTATATAGCCTATGCCAGGGAAGCCCTACTCACTGCCTTCTCGTGGCATTACTGTTGTTAACGAAATTCAGAGGACAAAAAGCGAATGTCTGGCGCCTTAACCGGGTTGGTGAACACTGCGAGTCCACCTGGGGGAGTTGGAAAACCCTGATTCCAAACCAATGATGCACATGCACTCCAGTAACCTGAGGGAACAAATGGCGAATGAATCAATTGTTAGTTACCAGCTACTATAGGACTGCATCTCCTCACAATGCTTTACTGCCTTGTGGGTTAGACCTTTACGTCAAAGGCTCAGGGTGTGGCCACCTAAGAAAACCACCTGCTTCGGTCTGGGCACCTGGGCAGTATCACAGCCCTCACACAAATTGAATGAGATTTGTGAGACTTGAATAGACAGTGGGAAATTACAAGTTTTGTTCCCTGGCACTGCCAGACTACTGATGATTAATCCTTTTTTACGCTTTAAACGCTTTCTATTGTTTTTACTCCCTTGACTTTCTTTACTTTTTCTTAGCTCTCTTAGATAAGTCAGACATGGTGGTGTGCATCTAATATGCTTATGAATGGCTGACATATACTGCAACTCAGAAACTAAGCACACGACTGTGTATTATATATTAGGTCGAATCTTACTTTTCTAGTGTCCAAGACTAAATAGAAACCATATCTACCAAATTTTTTATGAATAATTCCCCTTCAGTAAACGCCGTCTGGCACTTCGACGTCGCTATAAAGATTAATAAAAGCATGATACAAATATTTTGGGGCATTATTGTCTCTAATCTATCCCATTTAGCAACCTTTTGGTCTTTTTGAGTGAAATCCAGAACTATCATAATGAACGCATAGACAAATAAAAAAAAACGTCAATTCCCATCTACAGGCATTACAGAATGTAAATGCCAGACTACCATTTATGTTAACTTTACTAGTAAAACTCACCAAAAATCCCTGACCAGAATGAAGAGCAGGTAGAAAGAATGAAGATTTGAACGCGTCTATGATTGGAGTATCGAAATTGAGTACAAGCTCTGGAAAGGAACAAGCTGTTTCTGTCCCACAGCTCCATACGATAGTATTTCGAGAGATATACAGCTCATTAAACAGTCCGCCACACCCCCAAGTTCTCCAGAAATCAGAAGGCTTCAAAATCAATGTTGTGAACACCAATACGCTTACCTGATCACTTGGTGAGGTGCTTGATCCATTTCGCATACTATCTTCATGACAAAACTCCAATAAATACTGACATCCGAGAGGAAAAACATCAACAACCGATTTAGCTGATATCATGGTATCTGACATTTATGCGCCGAAAAGTACACAGGCGTATCACATCAGTCAGTGAACATGAGTGAGTGTAGCGCAAAGCTGAAATATACCCACCGTTTCCCCGCAATCCAATGCCAGTTCTACATCATCAGAGGTAAGCATTGGAAGTTAAGTGAAAAATCCCGACCATCCTAATATCCAATATGCTGAGGATTCGATTTCGTTAGGAATAACTGTTAATGAGACTGATAAGATTTTGCATCACCAAAGCTGACCGAATCCTATAGTTGAATTAGCTAGGAAAACAAACGACGAAACGAGAATTGTAACATTCAAAAAGATAGTGATACCACAGATGATCAGAATGTATATTGAAAACATCGACAAATGGAGAGTAAGTCGACTGTCGAGTTAGGGAGTTCCAGTCTTAGTGATTTATTGAAAAAGTCCATAGCTGATCAATAAGTAGTTTGTTCTGAGTTTGTGAACTTGTCGGAATATCATTGTAAATCCTCTATCTCGAGAGTCAATAAAAGTTCAATTGGTGAAAATGGTTGAGGGCGGAAACTTTCGCTTAACGGGCTTCCATGTCTAGTGGAATATCAATACCTCCAGGCAAGAACCTAGGTATATTAACGATAATGAAGGAAGAAAGAATTTGGCAAATCATAATAATATGTTATCTTTAATCTTTGAGAATAGGTCAAGTTTCCTCTTGAAGGATTCCTGGGAAGTTGCTTGAACTAGCTCAGTTAGCAGCGAATTCCAGCATTTGACAACTCTTACGGAGTAGAAGTTGTGTCTACAGTCCGTTCAGCTATGTTGGGTCTCCAGTTTCTGGGTGTTACCCCCTAGATTAGTGTTGTGACTAAGCTTAAGAAGATGTTTAAAGAGATGACTAGAAGTGTTAACGATACCATAAGCCATAAGAAGGTCATCTCTAAGACGCCTATACACTAACGGGTAAAGGTTAAGTTTAAGGTTAAGGTTAAGGTTTCCATTTGAGTGGCTCGCTGCTGGATACGCTCCAGAGTTTCCTTATCCTTTCGGAGGGACGAAGGAAATACTATGTTTCCGTACTCTAAATGGGGACGAATAAAACCGTTGAAGATTATGTAGAAGGTTCTACCGTCAAACTGGCCAAAAATGCGCCTCAATGTTACCAGTGCGAGGTTTGCTCGAAAAGCGTTTTAGTCACAGTTAGTGTACGACTTCAAGTCGTAGGGTACCAACACTCCTAAATCTTTTACGACCTGGGATACTTTTAAAGAGTTGCTTAAGTTGTAACTATAGTCTGCAACATGTCGCAGATGGACTACTTTACACTTTGAAGTACTAAAGGTAGGTCCGTTGTCGTCTCCCCAACTTTGAAGTCCAGTCAGATCCTCCTGAAGTGCCAGAATATCCTCTTGGTTGCGTATATCTCTCTTCAAAGTTTTACATCATCCGCAAAAAGCAATAAGTCAGACGATACTTGTTGTGGAAGATCGTTGATGTACATCAAGAAGAGAAGAGGCCACTGTTCGGTAGCTCGAAGGTTCGCAGCATCGATCTCTTTTGAAAATTAGCGTGATGTGAGCCAGCATTCAAGGTTCTTGTAGTTAACCTTGACTTAGCAAGTGTGAGAACACCACGCTAAGCGGTGTTGCCAGGATTGAAGCTGCTTCCCTCAGTATAGCAGAATCAACCATATCCGGACCAGGGGAAGTGCAGTTTCCTAGGTGCTACAGTTTACGGAACACCAAGTCAACGCTCAGGTTAGATTCGGAAAGACCTTTGCAGCTGCAGAGGAAGCTTTCATCAGTGTAGTTGATGTGCGTCAGGTGAAATGTCTGAGAGTATCGTTCAGCCGAAAGATCAGCGGCATCACCGTCGTTATTGGTTGGACCATTAGGACTTAGTAGTTGGGAAACTCTAATTTTGGCTTGTCGAAAAAAAGCTGCATCACAGGATAAGCTTTTCGAGTTGGAGACAAATTTATCGATAAGCTTGTTCTGGCACTGAAGCCGGAGCTCTGAATTTTAAAGCTTGCCTGATTAACAGCTACGTGATCGTTTAGTCATCATTTCAGTGCAATTCTGGTATTATATTTACTTTTCATAAGAGTTTAATTAAGTCGGCCATGTAACATTCAAAAATGTTTATATACATATATTTTATGCTGATAACGGTTTTGGGTGTCGCACAGATTATATATATATAGCTAGTCTAAAATGATATTTACACTGAGAAGTGCCGAAAACATAAAAAATCTTCCTGCAAAATAATAAAACTCGCAAAGCTTATTTTCAAAACCTAGCTTAATTTATAAATCCGCCCTGTAGAGAGCAAACTACAACATATTGTACGTCGAAAAGGAACCACATTAATCATACAGTAGTTCAGCTAATACCAGGGTGCTTGATATTGTTGAATTTTTGTCATTCAGTCGATTCAGTACCAGCCCAATAGTCCAGTTAAATTTGTGGATATCACTGTACAGACCATCGAAAATGAGCTCAAAACTAAGAGACCTAATAGTTTAAACTCAAAGTACGCCTCTGTAACATTGCATTTGTTGTTTGGTAACTGAACTTAAAATTGGGAATCAAGCAGGCAGTGGTCGAAAGAAAAGTCATGTAACAACGTAGGTTGATTAGTTGTGAGTTGACCTCTAAGTATGTGTCAAAACAATAGAGCTCAAGTATCCATTCACTTCCTCATCTTCTATAGGTATTATATTTCCAATTATCTGATATTGAATGTTGAAAAGCGTCGTGTGTTTAAACAGGTGACATCGCGCTACACTGTGTGTAGTTCTACGACATAAATAAAGACCTATTCACTAGTAATCTGTTTTTTTACTATCACCAGAACGAGGAGTACCTACCGGCACGAAAAACACCAAGGGACCGTCCATAGTCTGATATATAGTAAATTCTTTGTGAAGAACCAAGATGTAGATTAGGTCCAGATAACTATCTAGTCCTTGCTTACAGTAAATGTTAGCCAATATGTATTTGCGCCCAATATGCTCCACATTCTTCAGCGTTCGATATTTTAATAAACCTAATCACTGAATCATATAAGCGCTAATAAAGATCGTTAATGAATCGTTATTGCTAATCGTAAATATAGCTGAATAACTCTTAGTGTCGACCGAGTTAAAAAGCTGATTATGATTGTTAATCAACATTACAACACAATACATGTGAACATTATTCAAATAGAATAACGAGTTGACATAAGTAAAAATCAATCGATAATGTCAAAGAGAATATGTGAATCAGTAACACGCTGCGTTTCTTTATTCAGTCTCACTAATGTGGAATTCCTGTCCAAGTCAATAATAGAACATTTATCCTTGCTATTATAAAAGTCTATTCGTAGATTCGTAATGATTTGACCACCTTATCTATAAGGTCTAACGTGGTAGTCACATCATTGTCGATACTGACTCGTCCTACATGACAGTCAGCAATGTGATGTTTGGCGATTCTGAAAAAAATTGGACTGAGATAATATATTTAATGTGAATAGGAATGGGTTACATATGATGGCCGCGATTATGAGTCCGATCAATGCCGTACCAATCAGTTGCTCTCGCATTCATCATCTTTTACCTTCTCCGGGTTACCTTCTCAATGTAAATATTCCCAGTAGTTATGCGTTCAGTTTTAAGGATTGAGTGGGTAGAAAAAAACACCACAGCATTGTCATTGATGATAGTAAGGAGGATGGTATTCCTAATCTTTGAACCTACTCCTCCTCTGATTTCTGATGGCTTTTAGTGAAGTGAAACCCTCAACATTCTGTGCTCTTTGTCTACAAACTAAATTGGCTGAATTTCATTGATGGGGATTACATCAATGCTGGTAGAACCTACCTGTACGTCTTACTCCATTTACTTGTTGAGCGATCTGTTTGCATTTGTATAATGATGCGAAGATCATCTATAGTTTTGTGCTGCACCCAAAGTAGCATGAGCTCCATTTACTGTCGAACCTCCTGTACTCTAAAATTTGCAATACAGATGTCATTTTCACCAGCATCTACTATTAACTTTAGTTCTCTTCCCTTTTCCAACTTTTTCATCTCCACTAGTGTCAACTGTTTACGGACTAAAGCTCTATCCTTTCAGTTCAATATGCACCCTGTAGCATTAGGTTTCTCTCACTGAACGACTTGAATACAATCTTTAAAAGCCTGGTTTGGTTTTTTCAAGACTGTCAGGTTACCCAACCCACGAATCTATAAGGACGTGTCGCAAGAAATATTTCTTCTAGTAGGCCTTCCGTGCTTCCAATTCCATGTTCAAAACGAGTGATAGGCTCAATGCGTCTCCCTTCTTAGCTCTACATAGAATAACTAATCTGTTACTATGATCACCCTTCGAAATCTCAAATAGTGTGAGGTTGACTAGCTTTCTTTTATGGTATTAGGTCGTTTCTTACACTTGATTTGTACACACATCACATTTCACTGGAGTTTCAGTCACGGTTACGTCACACGCTTCGTGGGATCTTGGATGATCATGAGTGACCTTGGTGGTCATGTTGTTAATTTTCTTTTTGGTAACACACCTAGCCTTGAGATATGGTTTATTGACCGTTTCCTTACTGCTGCCACTTAGAGGGCAGGGAAAAGAAGGAACCTACTTCCTTGATGTCTTATTCCTGAAAGGCTTCACTCAGGTCGCTGCTTGTTCATTTAGCTCACCTGAATCAGTCGATTTGCAGACTGCCCAAGACGACTGATTGTCAGTTTATCTGTCGATAGAGCAATAGTCACCAAGGGGCTCCACATATTGTGAATTTTAGCAGCGTTCACCTTTGCTGCAGCTCTTTTCATCCGAGCAGGATTGCTGAGACAAACAGATACAATCCAGGTTTGGTAACTGCAGGTGTCTAATTCGTACAAATCTCGTGATACCACTGATTACACTCACCTAACTACAGACCATCATCCACAATTTATTGTTAACCTATGGTTTGACTGTTACTCTTTGTATGACATCGAGTCATCAGACAAAGTTTAGAATAACTTTGGGGGGAAGCAAGTGAAGACAAAAACTGATAACCAGAAGGAAAATTGGGAGAGTGATATATATATATATATATATATGCCACATAATAAAAGTATAGATCCCCAATAATCCTGTTAAAAATGACAATAATCGTGGCGTTATTTTGACTTAACCATTTACATTACAGTAAAAACAGTATTGTTGATGCGCGATAAACGACCAAAGCTGTAAAACTAACTTAGAAGGGAAAATATCACCTTTTATGAATAGGGCGGGTGTGGTTTAAATGAATTCTTCAAAGAGTTTTGTTGAGCGGTATGTATCATGTTTTTGATCTATCATGATTTTTTCTCTTATTCAAGACTCTCACAGCTGTTTCACTTTTCTCAGCTTTGCTCTCCTAGGTACTTACTATCTGGCCGTAATTAAGATTTACTTCATTTAATTTTATTGTTGTATTTGATGTGATGGGAGGTGCTGGGACTGTGATACTGATACACGATATGTTACGCAGCAACCCCACAACTGAACACTTGAACGAGAACACAAGAGTGAACAAGAAAACATTTTGGGCTACCGAATAAAGTGCAGAAATACTAATTTGTATATATGTAACTCCATCCCTTAGGAAATTAATCCATATCTTGATCAGTGAGATGAACTTGCCCTTCAGGTCACTTCTGATTGCCATCTGTTGGCCTTCTCATTAGGCTACTTCCGGTTGACTTATCATAACAGCCATGGTCAGACTTGATAGTTTCAAATAAATTGAGCATCAGATAGAAAGTTAACGACACATATATTTTTGTGATAGCCCAATGTATAAAAATCCTAGTCTTGAGGTTTCGTGACCTAATGTAAGTCGCTTCTTCAGAGTCGATCAGTTACTTAAATCATCGAATATAGATATTTGATCGTATTTTGTTAGGAATGCTCTTACTGAATTTCAGGTATCGAAGGTTTGTTCATAAACCATTTATTTTGTCTTTTACTGAACTGTTTGTACTTGAGAAATTTTTGATTGTACTGAGAAAACTGAGGTATTTCGTACTTCCAACATTATTTATTTTCTTTGTTAAATTAGGACCGATCAAGTTAAGCAACAAGTTTGTGTTCTGAAATAACTTAATACAAATCACTGAAAAAGCTTTGCACACAACGCAGCTTAGTAGCTTAGTTTATTCAGATGAAGTTTGGTTCGTTGGTTCTGTGATATTAGAATTTAATTCGTTAAAGTGACTGAACACTTATCTACTCACGGTTGTTGGTTAAATAAATATAATTGAAGTGAAAAAAGTCCACATGAAAGTAGAAATATGTCGCACCCATCACACTCTTGCAAGAAGAAGTGCTAGTCTGAGAAAAGTCTCAAAACTGTGAAAAAGGGCTCTGAATTCAATGCAATCATACTGGTCCTTGAGACAAATATGTTGATGTAGGCTTAATTATCAGCCTAGCTTGATGGTCTTATAAATTCCTACACTTGATCTCATCTTTTGTTACCTGTAAAGAACCTACTGACGTCAAAAATGCCAATAAACAGATGGAAGAAGTGTTACAAAATAAATCGTCAAAGCGTTGAGTATCGCTAACATGTGTATGAGTTACACTAAGAACATACTCTAGGAGGAATATCCTACTAGGTTTTAAAAAACCGTTTAAAGCATTTAACGTACTTTTTAGAGCTCAAGTGATAAAGTTTTCAATCTATATATACATAAGGGAAGGTTTTATTTCACTGATTTTTTGACTATCATCATGTCCTACAATTTCTGTTGTTTCACACTCAACCTTAGTCCTGATTTAGTCTACCGATCTTTATTCATTTGCAATCGCTTCTTTTACTACACTTATCGATTTGATCTCGTCTAGTAATGTTTTGAACTTATTCTACACTGCACTTTTCTTCATTCTTCTAACTTCAAGCTTGCAGTAGTCTATACTTTCATTCAGGGACCTTCGTGACAAAGTAGAAGCTGTTGATCCCAAAAAATCCAATGAACAGAGGATGACGCCGCGTCTGACTGAGTGCCCTCAGCTAGGATTAAGTCTAATAAAACCAATAAGGTTAGCAACGATTTCCGTGACTTAAGGCCTCTTAATTAGAAGACGGGTGTTGTTAGCCATCCTTGTCATCGTGTAACTTGGTAGCATGATCCCCAGAATTAGGATACGACCCCTGATATTTAACGAACGCAAAGAAACTTCAGCGACACCTGTTTACCAGGCCATGATGACACGTTTAGAAAAACAGAAAGGTGACAGGAACATCGAAACGACTTCTGTATGTCGGACATTTTACTACCTCATTAGCTTTCTCTTCATTTACGTGTTATATAGCTTGTTGGTTGCTTTGTTAATCAAAAAGAAGAAAGTTAATTTTTTAAACGTTCCAACACATCTTTTAAGAAGATAATAACTGAAACTGTTTGTGATACCTCATAATATATAGGGGCTTATGTACAGATGCTTCTCCAATACGGTCTGCATATTTGGGTAAAAATAAGCGTATTTGGTGCGCGCCTATATCTTTGTTACTTTTCCGGGGCGACGGAAAAGGGCGAAAGGAGGTCGTTTCAAGGAATCGAGCTGATGATTATTCCACCTCATTATTAATCCTTTTACTCCTCAATGTAAGAAGAAACAACTCGACAAGGTTTCAAAGGACTGTTCCCCAATATCAAGTCCATTGGATTAAAACTTCCGGTTGATCAGCACTTCAGGTCCACACCACAACATTCGGAGGCAGCTCTGTCGGCAAATAAATTACCCGAACCAAACCTTTTTGAAGAACCTAAATAATAATAATAATAATTTATTCTCAAATAACAGATTGTTACATGAGGCATGCCGGTTTACAGGCAAGATCAAATCGTTATCGAAGTTACAATTTTCACTGTTGAAAATTACTCAGCTGGGTTGATATTTCATAAGATATGAATGTCAATGGATTTCATAAGAAACATGTCAATAACAATATCATAATTGGCGCACTATATGGAGGTAGCGTTTCAGCATACAACTGATGGTCGAGAATAGATGTTATTGCGCATTCTGCTCAAATCTTGTTTCTGCGGGTAGTCCTTCATCAATGAAGGTGGTGCCCAATAGTGGGTTCCAGGGTTCATTCTTAAACCATTCTAGAGAATTCTAACCGAATATAGGGAGATATCTCCCTATTTTAGGAAAACTTTTGTCCTGGTTGGGTAACTATTGGGAAAACTGCCACAGAAAAATTTGGGAAAATAGTACAATAACCGGGAAATTTGTCCACGCCTGGGGAAATTTAGGTTCTACTCAATATTTCCCCAGAATCTTATAACACTGGGATGTTTCCCCGAAATTCCCACAAACTTTGGAACAAAGTACCACATTCCTTACAAATTTTGGGGAAAACCCCATAACCTACACAAAGGTCTTTATAATTTCCCCAACGCAGTTAGGTTGGGTAGTATTCTGTTAGTGTTCCTGCAGAAACTTTAATCATGAAAAAAGAGGTGATTAGGCGTATAAAGACCGAATTGGTGAAAAATTTTAAGCCTACAATATCACCTGACCAACTGTCGTTTTTGGATAGCTTGTAAGTCATACATGTTGGAAATACGGAGGAATTCAAATAACATCTTCAGGCTTGACGCGCAACATAGGTTTATGAACCTGATTTGACGAGTTAAAAGATACTTTTATGGTGTCAGAAACATAGGGTTCGGACCATTTAGTTCTCCAGATAGTTTGAAAATTTTCAAATAAGGATTTTTTTAGTCGCTAGAATGAGGCGCAATACGACTATGAGCTATTATTTTTCGTGTAAACTAATTAATCATACGCATGCCTAAAATTTTCATAAAATGATGTTTTTGAGCCTTCAAATGAAGTAAGTTGGAGCATCTAGATATTTCATCTACGCTTAGTTTCATTTTGAGGAGGACAGAAGGCTGGAGGACCTCCGTTACTTCTGAAAATGGGGTCCCTCAGCTTAACCAACCTTCTGTTAAAAACTTCACCAAATGGAGATTAGGTCGACTGTCGAGTCAGGGAGTTCCATTCTTAGTGATTCATTGAAAACGTCCATAGTTGATCAATAAGTAATTTGTTCCGAGCTTGTGAACTTGTCGGAATCTCATTATAAATCCTCTATCTCCTGAGTCAAAAAAGTGAGACCCTATCAGATGCGAATTTATTATTAGACAGTTTTAGAACTGTGGTCAAGTCACCTCTAGCCTTCCTATATGACAAGCAGAATGGGTTTAGTTCAGCCAGTCTCTCGTCATACGGTAGCTCTGCGATTCCGAGATTCCAATTGTTTGTGGTTCCTTGAGCATTTTTCAACTGCTCATTGTCTTTATCAGGCTGAAGCTGACTGCTCGTGCGCAATAGTTAAGTTTAGTACAAACGAATACTTGGCGAAGTCGAAGGTTCTATCATCTACGTCGCCAAAGGCTCTACTCATCAACCAGAGGGTTCTGGAAGTTTTGGCAGTTTTTGGGACTTGACTGACAATAACTCCTAAATCAGTGCGTGTCTGAACAACAGGTTGCTCGATATTATTCACCGGTTATGTGTCCTTACCTTGGTAACCAATATACAACATAGTACATTTGGAAGCACTTATCGGTAACGATCAAATTCTAGAACATTCAGATACTTTCTGCAGGTCATTTTGAAGCTCAAAAACAGCACCCTCACTTTCTTTCTCCATATCTTGATATCCTTAGCATATAAGGAAACCGATGATTGTAGGAGACCAAGTAGGTTGTTTGCATATAAGAGTAATACTGGCCCCAAAGCTGTACTCTGGGGTACTCCCTTCCAGCTAGACAACTTCGAGTCGACCCGTACACTTTAGTTGACGCCTAATCAAGAAATCGTTTATCCACATAAGCGGCTTACCTTCAACCCCGATATCATAGCTTAGACAACAGCACGTTATCTGGAATTTTTTCAAAGGCTTAAATGAATCCGATGAAAGCTACATCCATAGGTGACTTTTGGTCTGTAAGAGCTCATCAGCCTTCTCGAGCTACTAATAATTTCATGAAACATGAATAAGCTGTTTTAAAACCGCACTGCTTTTCAGAAAGAATCAGTTTTCGTCTGGATACTTAAATACGTTTTTCGGAATGGTCTTTCTCAAGAACCTTGACAATCAAACTGGTTAGGCTTACGGGTTGATTGTCCTCAGGTATTTTTTGAAGACAGGACTTATAGTGTTATTCCAGTTCTTTGATGATATACCCTGAGTTATAGATAGGTTAAACCATATGCTTAAGGGATTAACGCCATTATCACTTCTGCAGCTTCTTATTTTTCTTCGACATTATATGTACTGCCAAGTTTAGCAGTAATAATAAACTCCTAACCGCTTGAAAATATTTCCTGTGTTTATGGCATGTCACAATTACTTTCTTAGATGAAGTTCATTTTCTTGTGATTCAATTAGTTGCTTCTCATCTTTCATGCTATATGTTCTGCTACATGGTATTTTTGTTGGTACAAAACTGACCTAATCTTCTCATAAATTCAACATTATAAAATATTCTTAATTAATTTTTAAGTAATACTAGGTACATGTAAGTCGGCGTTTCCAACTATTTTGAAGATGACTATTTCGAGAAATATGCTTGTTATTTTTGTTTTCCTCTTCCTCGACATCGTAACTGTGAGTATGATTCTACCATGGATGCCTTCTCTTTTAGAAACATACGAGTCTGAAAAAGTAAGTTGCATTATTTGTATATTACAAAAGGAATGGTTTTATATTTTGTCCAAGAAATATGTCCAACACATGGGTTTTGCTTTGGGTTTTCAAGAAGGTTCTACATGGGACAGAGTATTCATTGGAGGTATGCTTCACAATTTAGCAACAATATTTTCGTTTTAGGCCTTCTATCGTCATTATCATCCTTGATGCAATTTGTTTCATCTCCTGTAGCTGGGGCTTTATCAGACTATTTTGGTAGAAAGCCGATCTTAATTGTCCTTCAGGTTTGTGGGTATATATATGACTTGGCTATTGCCATCCAGAATTTTCCTGGGTAGCATAAAGACATCGTTTTAAAAAACGTCAGTAACAGTTGTGCAACTTGCGTGTAACGTGGTAAAGCCACCCAGTTTATGATGCATCAGAATATCCTGTTAAAATAACTTTAGCAGAATATATTTGTTGTACAATTGTAAATAACGACTATGGTAGAGTAGGTAGAGAAATTCGTAGATGTTTTAGTTGAATAGAATGATTTTATAATTTAGTGAACAGAAAACACTAGTTGGAGACAATTGAATGTATTTAATTACGAATGACAGACTATCTCACTGAATTCTGATAACCATACAACAAACAGTTAATTTGCAAATAACAACCAATTGTCTCAATCTTCACTGTTTCTTCTGTAAATATCATTTCATCTCTAATTCCACTGTTCATGCATTTTCCTACCAATCGCGTTTCATTTCAGTTCTTTCATTATCGGTCTTCTGCCAAAATACATTCTATGTCTGACCGTTGCCATATACTAATTATGTGGATATAAGTAGACCACACTACACTCATCCCCCCTTTAAAGCATTCGTTCATGCGGCGGTTCTGTTCACCGTGCACACTTTCTTCTTGTACTGCAGTCTGTGCCAAGCTCTCCGTCAAAATGTCGAGTCTGCGGCGCGCTGACCTCCATAGCTCCGTCGACCTGCCGGGGACCAACATCCGACATCCACCCGGCACCTGGGACGTTCAACACCCGTACTCCACCGGCCTGCTGAGCCATTTACATCCGATGTCCGCCCAGCAGCCGCACGTCCCACCGCTCGTCTCCTTTGACAGCACTTGCTACAGCCAACGAGGCCCCGCCACAATTCTCCACTCGACGTCAACTCTAAGCACCAGACTTCCCCAACCAGCACCTCGACTCCAAGATCTCAGCGGTGTCCACAGAACAGCACCCTTCCTCCTCCTGGTTGGCAGCTGTTAAGATTCCAATCGTAGAAAAGTGGGAACAATTACTGACTAATTGTGCTTTAATGCTGCTGTTAAGTTGTGAATATGAAGTAATTTACATTGACTTACTAGCTTTTTTTAACACAGACTCTTCAAAGCTATTCTTTTAATTATGGCTGAAAAGCAAAAGATTCAATAGTGATATGACGAATGAATTGAAATATTTCTCTTCAGCATACTAGAATAATACGGTAATAAGACTGATCTGAGTTACAGAGTTCACAATACCACCAGACTGAATAATCGAACAACCCAACAAATCACGTACCACCAGATACCAGACTCGCGACCAAAAGCAAAGAGCCAGAGTAACATTAGACAATACCTAATTCTACAAAACTGAATGCTTTCACTCTCGTTGAGTCCAGAGTATTTATTTTTATTTATTTAAACACATAAAAATTGGTACAATGAAGCACCAGATAAATATGCGCCTCACAAATCTCATTCGATTTGTGTGAGGGCTGTGATACTGCCCAGGTGCCCAGACTGAAGCAGGTGGTTTTCTTAGGGGGCCACACCCGGAGCCTTTGACCTGACTGTCTGTTCCACAAGGCAGTGGAGCATCGTGAGGAGATGCAGTCCCATGGTAGCCGTTGACCAATGACAGGTTCGTCCGCCATTCGTTCCATCAGGATACTGGAGCCCATGTGCACCATTGGTTTTGAATCAGGGTTTTCCAACTCCCCTAGGTGGATCCTCCGTGTCCACCAACCCGGTTAAAGCGCCGGACATTCGCTTTTCGTCCTCTCACTTTCGTAAACAACACCCCCGCCACGAGAAGGCAGTGAGTAGGACTTCCCTGGCAGAGGCTATATATTCGCTGGCCATATGAGAGTATTTCGAGAGGGAGAGGTGACTCTCCCCACTCACAGCCGTACCAGAGCATTTGGGGGCTGAACAAGAGATTCTGTTAAGTCATTTTTATCAATCCTATGTGTCCAGAGTATAAATTAATAAGATGGAATAAAATCAAAAATTTTAAAGTCATAAAGCTGCACTCTTGTCTGTCCATACTCAGCAAACAATCACGCTTACCGTCCTTAGATTCTTACTTCTTTACGTCTGTTATCTTTGGTGGAGGATCATTGGCCGCCCACCAGCATTCTCAATGCAACTCTGTCCTGGACAATCCTTTCCAGTTGTTATTCATCCTTCTCATGTCTGCTTCCCATTGCCTACACAATGTATTTCTTGGTCTTGCTCTATTCCTGTTCCCTTCACGATTCCAAGTTAGCGCTCGCCTCCTGATGCAGTTTGATGGTTTCCACAATGTATATCCTATCCACTTGAGACGTCTTTTTCGAATTTCCTCTTCATCTGGAATCTGGTTTGTTCTCTCACACAATAGGCTGTTGCTGATAATATCCCGTCAACCGATCTGTAGTATCTTGCGTAGACAGTTGTTTACAAATACCTGTACTGTTTTGATGATGGTTGTGGTAGTTCTCCGCGTTTCAGCCCCGTACAGCAGAACTGTGTTGACGTTCGTATAGCAGATTCCGACTTTGATGTTGCCCGACGGTTGTTTTGAGTTCCATATGTTCTGCAATTGTAGGAATGTGGCCCTTACTTTTCCAATCTTCGCCTTTACGTCTGCACCAGTTCCTCCACATTCATCGATGATGCTGCTAGGATACATGAGAGTTTACACATCTTCCCAGTTATTTCTGGAGAGAATGTGGAGCGTATTTACAGATACTTGTGTGTCTGACTTCAATGTTTCAGCTGGAATTTTGTCAGATCCTGCTGCTTTCCCACTCGTGATTAGTCTGATGGCCATCCTGATTCCTTCGATCGTTCATGGAGTAACATCTATAGGAAGGTTTGTAGGTGCTGCTGTTGAAAACGTTTCCTGGTACTGACAACAAACTGATGCATTTGTAATCCTCAGATCCCTTCTCTTTGGTATCATGATGAGATATCCTTCTTTCCATTCCGTTGGCACTTGTTCTTCTTAAATCTTTTTGAGTAGAAGGTGAAGCATAGTTGCAGTTACTTTAATGTCTGACTTCAGTGCTTTGGCTGGTATATTGTCAGGTCCTGTTGCTTTCCCGCTCTTGATTTGTCTTAAGGCCATCTCGACTTCTTCGATTGTTGGCGGAGTGACTTCTATAGGAAGGTCAGTGTGTGCTGCTTTGATGTCTGGTCGATTCAATGGTACTGACCTATTCTTCAGTTCCTCGAAGTATTCTGCCCATCTTTTCATCTGTTTTTGAAATTCGATGATCGGATTTCCCTCTTTTTCCTTGACTGATCTCTGATTTACGATAGTTCCCTGTCAGTTTCTTCGTTGTGTCATGTAGTTGTTTCATATTTCCTTCTGTTACAGCTTTTCCCACTGTCATTGCTAGCTCTTCCACATATTTCTATTTGTCAGCTCTAATGCTGTTCTTCGCTTGCTTGTTTGCTTCTGTGTATCCAGTTTGTGCGTTGACTTTCTCTGTTCTTGTTCTACTGTTGTTAATTGCTGTCTCCTTGTTCTTCCTTTCTTGAATCTTGGCGAGGGTTTCAATGGAGATCCATTCCTTATGATAATGATTGTTGCGGCCGAGCACCTCGTGACACGTTGAAGTTAGTGCTTCTTTGACCCCTTTCCACTTGTCCACCATAGCAGTTTCTTATTCTTTCAGTAGATCTTGTCAGGCTTGAAACCTGTTGTTGAGAGTTATATTGAATTCGTTGATTTTGTCAGTATGTCGAAGGAAGACTGTATTGAACCTTTGTAATGCTGTTTCTCCAGTTTTCCACTGCTTCTCCAATTTCAGTTTCATCTTGGCGACCACCAGGTGGTGATCTGAAGTTTTGTCAACTCGTCTCCTAGTCCTCACATCTTCCACTGACCTTCTGAATATTTTAGTGATGCAAACATGATCTGTCTGGTTCTCCGTGATGTGATTTGGTGAGACCCATGTAGCTTTGTGTATGCATTTTGTTTTTTGTGACCAGAGTACGGCAGCATCTCTGCCGAATTTATTCTTTTCTGTCGAACTTGGGTCCAATGGGTTTCCCCGGTTCCGAGAACCGCCAAGTTGTATCTCCTCATTTCCGTAGCTATTTGACTGGTCCTCGCGGTTTCCCACATTGTCCGAACATCCCATTTATCTATATTAATTTTTCATCTGGCTGTTAGAAGGTGCATCAGCCTCGTGACTTCCGAAGAATCTTGGCTTTCATTATGAGGCGTTATAATTCTTCTTCATGAAGATCCTTCAACCCGGAGGACAGAGTTTGAATGGTTTAATTTGTTTAATCTGGTCAGTGTCTTTTTGGCAATGTTGTTATTTACGTGATGGGGTTGTCGACCCCATGCTCAACCCTCTTCATTTGTGTGTGCATGAGACTGGCAGTAGCTGTGGAACGGCTACAGGGGGAATAGCATTTATTTTCTGTTAGATTACGTGTTGTGTTGAAGTACGATGTAATTAGTTTTACACAATGATTATTTCTTTATTGTATTTTTTTCAACTTTTTTATTTAACAGGTATCGCTTATAATCGTTAATGTTTTCTGGTCAGCGTTAGGTAAGTCATTTTTGTGGCTACTGATATATCGTGTATTATGTGGTGCTGCACGAGCAAATGTCGGTGTTGTATCAGCACTTGTTGGCGATATCAGCAGTGATACATTGCGTACTAAAGGAATGGCGGTTGTTGGTCTGGCTTATGGTATCGGATTCACTGTAGGACCACCATGCTCAGTTTTCTTACTTAGCCGGTGGAAAGTACATACATCAACTGAATACTTGAGCTGTACGCTCGGTTCTACATGTTTGCTCCTTAATTGTATAAATCTACTAATCTTGATTTTCGCTCTGCCGAGTACATTACAAAAGGTATGTTTTCTCATTATTTAATATCACGTTTCTGCAAATTATTCTATAACTCACGCATTTGAAAACACTATCGAAAATTTTTATTTTGAGATTAAAGTTTAAATAATTTTGTCCTTTGTAATCCCAAATAGTCGGTTGCGAAAGTTTCACTTTATAATAGAAGATATGCTCCAGACAGATATCTTGAAACTGAGGGTTATGCAGATTATGCATCTGAACTAAACTAAACTAAGTTTATTATGTATTGAAAGATCCTTTGTTTTCTCACGAATGACTAGGTACAACGTTTTAGTCGGAATAATAATTTATTTTAATCTCAGCTACCTGCAACCTAGGTGGTAGTGTTCATCTCATTATTAAAAGATTATTCAGTCTCCGGTGTATGGATAATTTTGTGATGGTATGAAGACTATGCAAAACTCAGTTGATCATTCAATGGTCAACATCTAAAGTATGACTTGTACTGTGCACCAACAAAATACAAAGTACTGCATTCAAGAGGCTGTACCACTCATGGTGAATTGTTGGGAGTAATCGAGATGTTTACACATTTATACGACTGTACTGATGCTGCCTGTGGTGATGTAGAAAATGAGATCGATTTACGAGTAATGGAAGCCAAGACGGTTTATGTTAGTTTGAACCATCTTTGGAGCCGTCATGACGTTGGTCAACGTTTAAGGAGTTAGGTGTACAATGAGAATACATTGGCGGTTTTCTGTACGCTTGTGAGTCCTGGCCACTTATAAACGAGATTGTTTGGGTCATTGTACCAGATCTTTGTCTCTGAAGAATTGATCACATTTAAAAAAATAACGTGTCAGCAACGTAGATGTCTGATTTATATGTTGGGCTTTAGTAATTCAAATACTTTCACAAAGGTGAAACGGTAATTTTGGTGTATTGTAGACACTTTACACAAATTATCTTAATGACTCACTATGCACTGGTAACTATCTTTGTGGTTAAGTGTAGCATTGAGACTCAGTCAGTATTGACATAATGTTTTGCAGTGAAGAACATTTATATTACATAAATATAGGTTAGTTCGTAACAGTTATGTGTGTGTGGTCCAAAAGATCGTCCAACTCAGGCTTGAGCTGTAATAAAAATTCTTTGGAACAGAAGTCAAAAACTATCGTGGCGTAGTTTTCTGTTGCACTATCCACAGTTGATAAGCTGCTCTATGTTAAAAAACACCCCTCTACTCTAACTACGTTTAATTAACATGCTTGCTTTTTCCTGAGAGTTTATCATATAATTTACACCGTTCCATCTCTGAGCAATATTATCATCAACTTCTGAAGTAACTCCGCATTTAGCTATTGCACAGCTACAGCCAGTCTCATGCACACACAAATGAAGAGGGTTGAGCATGGGGTCGACAACCCCATCACGTAAATAACAACATTGCCAAAAAGACACTGACCAGATTAAACAAATTAAACCATTCAAACTCTGTCCTCCGGGTTGAAGGATCTTCATGAAGAAGAATTATAACGCCTCATAATGAAAGCCAAGATTCTTCGGAAGTCACGAGGCTGATGCACCTTCTAACAGCCAGATGAAAAATTAATATAGATAAATGGGATGTTCGGACAATGTGGGAAACCGCGAGGACCAGTCAAATAGCTACGGAAATGAGGAGATACAACTTGGCGGTTCTCGGAACCGGGGAAACCCATTGGACCCAAGTTCGACAGAAAAGAATAAATTCGGCAGAGATGCTGCCGTACTCTGGTCACAAAAAACAAAATGCATACACAAAGCTACATGGGTCTCACCAAATCACATCACGGAGAACCAGACAGATCATGTTTGCATCACTAAAATATTCAGAAGGTCAGTGGAAGATGTGAGGACTAGGAGACGAGTTGACAAAACTTCAGATCACCACCTGGTGGTCGCCAAGATGAAACTGAAATTGGAGAAGCAGTGGAAAACTGGAGAAACAGCATTACAAAGGTTCAATACAGTCTTCCTTCGACATACTGACAAAATCAACGAATTCAATATAACTCTCAACAACAGGTTTCAAGCCTGACAAGATCTACTGAAAGAATAAGAAACTGCTATGGTGGACAAGTGGAAAGGGGTCAAAGAAGCACTAACTTCAACGTGTCACGAGGTGCTCGGCCGCAACAATCATTATCATAAGGAATGGATCTCCATTGAAACCCTCGCCAAGATTCAAGAAAGGAAGAACAAGGAGACAGCAATTAACAACAGTAGAACAAGAACAGAGAAAGTCAACGCACAAACTGGATACACAGAAGCAAACAAGCAAGCGAAGAACAGCATTAGAGCTGACAAATAGAAATATGTGGAAGAGCTAGCAACGACAGTGGGAAAAGCTGTAACAGAAGGAAATATGAAACAACTACATGACACAACGAAGAAACTGACAGGGAACTATTGTAAATCAGAGATCAGTCAAGGAAAAAGAGGGAAAGCCAATCACCGAAATTCAAGGACAGGGGAACAGATGGGTAGAACACTTTGAAGATCTCTTGAATAATCCGGCTCCATTGAATCCACCGGACATTGAAGCAGCACCTACAAACCTTCCTATAGATGTTACTCCATGAACGATCGAAGGAATCAGGATGGCCATCAGACTAATCACGAGTGGGAAAGCAGCAGGATCTGACAAAATTCCAGCTGAAACATTGAAGTCAGACACACAAGTATCTGTAAATACGCTCCACATTCTCTCCAGAAATAACTGGGAAGATGTGTAAACTCTCATGTATCCTAGCAGCATCATCGATGAATGTGGAGGAACTGGTGCAGACGTAAAGGCGAAGATTGGAAAAGTAAGGGCCACATTCCTACAATTGCAGAACATATGGAACTCAAAACAACCGTCGGGCAACATCAAAGTCGGAATCTGCTATACGAACGTCAACACAGTTCTGCTGTACGGGGCTGAAACGCGGAGAACTACCACAACCATCATCAAAACAGTACAGGTATTTGTAAACAACTGTCTACGCAAGATACTACAGATCGGTTGACGGGATATTATCAGCAACAGCCTATTGTGTGAGAGAACAAACCAGATTCCAGATGAAGAGGAAATTCGAAAAAGACGTCTCAAGTGGATAGGATATACATTGTGGAAACCATCAAACTGCATCAGGAGGCGAGCGCTAACTTGGAATCGTGAAGGGAACAGGAATAGAGCAAGACCAAGAAATACATTGTGTAGGCAATGGGAAGCAGACATGAGAAGGATGAATAACAACTGGAAAGGATTGTCCAGGACAGAGTTGCATTGAGAATGCTGGTGTGCGGCCAATGATCCTCTACTAAAGAAAGCGTGCGTAATAGTGTATTAGTGTGTTTTTCGTTGGTTTACTGTGGTATCTCATCATCAGTCACAAAAAGCATTTCTCTTAGTTTCGTGGAATTAAAGTGTCATGTAACACAGGGGAAATAATTTCTGGGTATTTGTTTCTATTATTTGAGGGTGGAGATATCGGTCTATTAATCAATCAAGCTGTACGTTTGATAAATCCTGCGAAGTTGTTCTCACTATCTGGCACGACGAAATGTCCTAAATGTGAGTTTAGTTTTTCATCCAACTGTGTATATTTTTTCTGGGGCTAATTCGTTTATTAGTTGCTCATAAGCGTTAGTCAGTTCGTAACCTTCAACATTAACCCGTATTTACCTAATGTCTTACGTAGATGAAAAATCTTTGCGTCATTTGGCATACTTTTGGTGCGGCTACTTGTGCGTATACTGCGGAATAGAATATACAGTACTGTTTTTGGCTAGAATTCGCTTTAATTTCTCAAGGTCAGTCAATTTCGTATAGGAGTCCTCTCATTCTCATAAACATAACTGTTGGTTTACGATGGTCAAGTGTTATATTTTTGTTTATTTATCATGACACAAGTCGTGAGTTTGTAGGTGAATAGTTAATTATTCTCATTAGAATCGCAAACAAATTGCCATTTGCTCATACCTATTGATTCATTGTTGAATTTATTCCATACATTTTAAATAAAATAGCTTCAGACATGTTTGTTTAATAAGCTCCACTAACCAAAGCTTTTTCACCGGGTTATCCGGTTGTTGACTTTGATGATGATTAAACGTAGGGAAAAAACGAAGTTGATGGTTAGGATGAGATAAATGTTATTTTTCTCATCATCCAGCTATTGCTAAGTCTGGAGCAGCGAAATCATGATTGGTTTCAAAGTTATTTTTTATTGGTAATAATCTATTTATTAGTACATTTGAATTAGCTGAATGTATTCCAACCCGTTGTATTGGGATTTGTTCCTTAGATGTGAAATCCTTGTTTATAAAATTTATTTCATTTTGAAATATCTAATTTGTTAGTTAGTTCAGTATGTGTTTATACCACTTTAATTTTTCCGACAAATTCTCTTATTGTATCTTATTTCATTTTCGTTAATTACTTTTGTTATTGTTACTAGCTCTGATCAAGGCAAAATGTTCGGCTTTATTGGGATAATAATGGTGCTAGTTCAAGGTAAGTCGCAAAAACATTCAAACTGAATTACCTATTAGCAAACTCATAAAGGTTTCAATTTCCTATTTGTTTACTTCATGATAAAGCTCCATATTAACGTGTTTTTTCAATTTCTAACGTCTTTGAGAGATTTTAATGAACTTATCTAGGAAATCAACAGGGCTGTGATGATCTGCATATTTTGATGGTTGGTGAGTAAATTGCTGATTTTCTTAACTGGTAGTTTTGGAAAATATTTAAGATAATCTCACTGGTTTAATTTAAAACAATACAGACTGCTTAAAGTCACTAATTTAACTAGCTTTAATAGATGTGAACAAAAGATCGACGTATGTTTGTTTGTTTAAATCGATAATCTCCTTACAATTATGTGTTTTGGTACATTCATTCAATATATTCATACACATGTACTAATTAGAGTAGTTATTACAAAAGTTTGAAAATGTTTATTATCTTACTTCTGGGACACTTTAGATATAAAACACATCGATTATTTATCTATTTATTTAGGCACATAAATATTGGTACAAGGGGCGCCAGATATATATGTGCCGCACAAAACTTATTTGATTTGTGCGGGGGCTGTGATACTGCCCAGGTGCCCAGACCGAAGCAGGTGGTTTTCTTAGAGGGCCACACCACCAGCTGTTGCGTATAGGTCTAACCCACAAGGCAGTGAAGCATCGTGAGGAGATGCAGTCCCGTGGTAGCCGGTGACCAACAATTGGTTCATACGCCATTTGTTCCCTCAGGTTACTGGAGTGCATGTACGTCATTGGTTTGGAATCAAAGTTTTCCAACTCCTCTAGGCGGACTCGCAGTGTTCACCAACCCGGTTAAAGCGCCAGACATTCGCTTTTTGTCCTCTGAATTTCGTAAACAACAGTAATGCCACGAGAAGGCAGTGAGTAGGACTTCCCTGGCATAGGCTATATACGCGTGGCCATGTGAGAGCATTTGGAGAGGGAGAGTGGACTCTCCCACTCTCGGCCGTACCAGGGCATTTGGGGGCATCGATTATATTCGCTACACAACCTCAAAATCTTTCATACTTCGAGTGTTCGCTTTATTCATTTGTATAAATACTTAGTATAGAGATAAGATATTTGAATTAGTGGTCAGAATGATACGCTACTAATACGAACAGTAAAATAGGTTCGCTTATGAAACTGTAAGCAAGTCGTGTAACTTTTAGTGCCAGAATCATCAATAATGGTCTAGAAATCCTGTCTTTTATACTTGCTACTGGTGTAACTGACTTCCAGTTGACTAGCCGATTACTTTCTTCTTCTAGGTGATTCACTAACCGAATCTATACCTAAGTAAGTAGTGGTACCTATTCCCTTCAAATCACATACTTCTGAGGATCCTTACCTAGTTTCTAAGTCTTCGCGTTGCTAGACTTTCACATTTTTCTGATCAAAGGTGTATTTGTAGTTGCCTGCGCATGCTAAAATTATCAATAACAAAATATCCTTTGACTGCTACCGGGTGTCCATAGATTGTTTTGACTTCCCCAAAATTCATTAGATGAATGGAGTAATATCGAGTCTTTTAAAATAGTTCTGAAAATCCTATTGATGAGCTTTTCTTTCTGGGTAGTGAGTCTTTCAATTTTTGTAGCACACTGGTGTGCAAACTCACTGCACATTCCAGCTGGTTTTTCAGTGATGAACCAGTAGCATGCCATTGTTTATTAGTTCGACGATAACGAGATTAAAACATATTTCAATCCATATTTTTAATAGTTTTACCAATAATCGGATTTTGATCCATATCGACCTAAACGAATGTCAACGATATCCATTAATAGTAAGGCATGATTTCGTAATCTCCAAAATTCATCAAAATTTATACCATGTTGTGTCTGCAAGTAAGTAGCAGTATAACTTGTTTGCTCTGTCTTTATGTCATAATTTAAAAGAAAGATGACTTCAACTAAGATGATAAAAAGAATTATACCTCGTACATTTGGATTATACTAAGCATTTATTATGTGTGAATTATTCGCTAAAGTTCATCATGACTTATCTAATGTGTTGATGTTTTTTGTCTTTAGAAGGCATTGTACACGAAAATTTAATTTATCTTGTTTTCTCCAAAACTAGGCTGCTTTATACATAGCTTCAAACTTGGTAGAGAAGACAAAGCCATTACATGGGTAAGTTCTGATCGCATTATTTTAAAACTGAATTTCTCAGTAACTGCAGTAATGAATTTCATAAGTGGGACGAATGCAGTTAACCTGTATTAATTGCTTAGCTGTAAAATGACAATTTTTTCTGGTTAGGACGGTTTCACTAAATAATAACTTTGCTCGTCGCTCACCTGGAGTATAGCATCAACTGTCCCTACAGATTTTGGTAAAAATTAAAAGTTTCGAGAAATCATCAATCGGTATATTAATATTATTATCATTAGCTTTACTTAATATTATATTTTTGGTACAATTTAGAATTATCAGAACAGTGTATTTCAAGAAGTTTCCATTTCTTACTTCTTGATCGATCCTGACGACAAATATTGAGTGGTCACCAGTTAGAAGTTAGCAGTCTAGTCAATAGACATCGAAATAATGTACATTCTTTTCGCTGCATATTGCCAGCAACCACGATATTTCTGATTAGACCTTTTGTAACTTGTACAACGAAAAGTTGTAGACTTTTCAGAAACACCTAGATTGGTTATTTGATTAATATCCATAATGATGTATTAAAACAAACAAAATTAGATAATTTATTGAAATATCTAGATGACAGGAACAGGTAACCCAGATGTTCAAGCAAGCCGCCTATATATACGCCTCTTGAATGAAATATTGGCATTATGAGACACCAGTAATAAAATCAAGGGCACAGATAACCTATAAAAACGATAACACTTGCTGTATATCCATTCGTAGTACACTTAAAATTACAGCGAATCGAACAAAATAAAGTTAATCCAAGTAATATTAAAGCCGTGCATTGACGTATATTCATTTGTCTTTCTTATTTAAACAATTACACCCTTAATATTTGTGTCAGCAGTTATTTTGCCTCAACACGTACTTAGACACTTCAAAAAAGTGCGAGCTCTTCATTGTCCACGAACATCACTTGACATTTAAAAATAACGAACCAGTGTTATTAGTTTCTCCTGTACCCTGATTTTAGTTTTTATCTGAAAGATTTACCACTACTAAATTCTTTCTGCCTTAATGTATCCCTTTCACTGCTCAAGTTATTATGTTTTTGAAAGTCAAAGACCTGGGCTAATATACTATCATGTCAGATTTAACCTTTTGCTTTCCAGTTTTGTATAGAACTCAATCAGTTACTTTTGTAAACTATCGTTTGACCATTTGCTTCTTCTAGAAATAATCGCCACTCAATACGTCTATTTGAACTCAGTATGTCATAACCCTGTGTTTTTAGGACAAAGGCGCGTTCAAACTTAGCATTTTCCGGTTAATACTTAGGCAAAGTCTGCTTTATAAATGTTATTAGGTAACGTCACTGAATATCTAAGTATACACTCAATATGATCAACGATAAAACGGTAGTTCAGTATTTTCTGTTTTTAATGCTACCCGATTGACTCTTCTGGTCAATGATTTATATGTTATTGTGATTCGTGGATAATCTGATTACTTTGGTGGAGGTGGAAAAACATATAAACTCCTCATCGAAATATAATAAATACTTAATTAAAGTCCACAGTAAATCACCTTTAAGCCTTTTGACTAGCGGTCATATAATTGTCATTTGCGTAATACATAGGTGAAGAGAATCAAAGAGTGGCAAAAATGTTCTCAAGTACATCTTGAACAACATCAAATATACAACACAATATTTAGTTACGTTTCGAGGTTAATGTTCAGATCGGTCCGGCTAAGAATACTATTCATAAAGTAGGTTACTGTTAAATTGTATATTAGAGATGCAGATTATAGAAACACAGCACCTGATTATGAAGATTAGCTGATCGTCTTAGTCCATATGAAGTGACAAAAATACTTTCGCAATGATTATTCACTGCCTAAACGGATCTTGAGAACAGCGAACCCGGAAGAAGCAAATTGGTTTCAGACTTGACCGTGGTTGCATTGACAGAATATTTTCCCTTCGAAAAATTTTAGAACATAGAAATTCATACCGACGCCTAAATAATCCTTTCAATTAGCTTGAAAGAGACATTCGATTGAAGTATGTCCTAAAATAGTACGTTCACTTTCTAGACGCTCATTTCTCAAGTAAATAGCCGAGCTAGCCGGAACCAACTGAGTCCATTGTGTTTGCAGGGCTGCCCACTTTCCTTATCTTGATTTGATTTTAGATTTTCTAGCAATCGTTTTCATCTAATTTTTTAGGGATTGATCTCTATGGAAGCTCATTTATCTATTTGGAGTACTCAGATGGTGTAGCATTGTATGGAAAGACACATCATTTTCCGAATACCATTAATAAAATACATGTGTTTCAGACAGATTCCTCCCTCTCTCTCTGAACATAAAATATTGCATCATCACTGACCTTCGTCAGTAGCTACACTAAAAATACGGAGTGAATTAGTTGGGCGAACTGACCACTTCACGTAAACCGGTCTTATCGACTGTGGTGGGTAGATGCCTGATGAGATGTCACCGCGAATCCATAAAAGTCGGTAGAATTTCCACAACTTCCATTGTCCGTCTACCGACAAAAGAGCGAGCATATTACATATGAGTTCTCGCTGTAATACTCTATGACTGTAAAACAGCTCTTAAAGGTAGAAGACCTACATGAGTAGTAACTACTTGATTGTAGGTATCGTCGAACTATTGCTGGCTTATGGTTGAACAACAGAATAAGTAATGCTGTGATATTAGGCGCTGGATACTAGTAAAAAAAGAAAAAAAATCTGACATACATACACAAATATTGACTGAAGATCAGACCAACACCAGAATGACGGTTTGAAGTCATAACTCTCGTATTGATGCCAAATAATTAACCCCTGATTTGTCAGCATCATGTCTCCTAGCTTTCATATATTTAGTAATTATAATGGGCATAAAATTAGTAGGAGAATTTTCGAAAGCAATACTTCTCTTGCAATGATTGAGATATATAAAATTCACTAAGTAAATAAATTTCGTGGAATATGATATTTATTTATTTAGATGCGGAAATATAGGTACAAATGGGCACAAAAGTAAGTGATTTAAATCGTCAAGAGGGAGATAGAAAGTGAATTTACGAAGAAAATAATTAAACAAGTGAACGAGGTCAGCATATACTGGAGGAACACTTCATTTGGAAAAACACAAAATAAACGAACTTTTTCGGTTCATGCGATTTATCTCACTTTTGTGAAGAAAAATAAGGAAGTTACATCTGGACCGTCATTGGCTTCTACTCGTATCTGATAAAGTTTGAAGCCACTGAGCTGCGATATCTCTGGGACGGAGTCGTGAAAGACCAACAGATCCTATTCCTGTATAGCCACCTTTTATACCACACCATATCATAAGCTTACCACCTTTTTGCTGTTTCGGATCAGTTCCAGCATCACCAAATAAAGCTCGATGTAGAATTATCTAGGATCGCATCTGTAGCACATGCCTAACCTACTGAAACATATGTCTTAAGATGGCCAAACTAACTGAGTTATCGTCTCTGACTAAACACACATTCCAGAGTCTAAGCATTACTAACATGGTGTTAACACTGAATGTCAGAGATCCGTCGGATACCATGACTGTAGAGTACAGTTTCCCAACATCATCAATTCGGAGAGATCAAAATTCATAAGCAAAAGGCAGAAGCGACAGATTGTAAATCTGACTTTTATAGACAACATCATCTCCAGACAACAGATCCACAACAGATCCTCCACTCTTCGTGGAGGAAAATTGGCCGCCCATCAGCATTCTCAATGCAACTCTGTCCTGGACAATCCTTTCCAGTTGTTATTCATCCTTCTCATGTCTGCTTCCCATTGCCTACACAATGTATTTCTTGGTCTTGCTCTATTCCTGTTCCCTTCACGATTCCAAGTTAGCGCTCGCCTCCTGATGCAGTTTGATGGTTTCCACAATGTATATCCTATCCACTTGAGACGTCTTTTTCGAATTTCCTCTTCATCTGGAATCTGGTTTGTTCTCTCACACAATAGGCTGTTGCTGATAATATCCCGTCAACCGATCTGTAGTATCTTGCGTAGACAGTTGTTTACAAATACCTGTACTGTTTTGATGATGGTTGTGGTAGTTCTCCGCGTTTCAGCCCCGTACAGCAGAACTGTGTTGACGTTCGTATAGCAGATTCCGACTTTGATGTTGCCCGACGGTTGTTTTGAGTTCCATATGTTCTGCAATTGTAGGAATGTGGCCCTTACTTTTCCAATCTTCGCCTTTACGTCTGCACCAGTTCCTCCACATTCATCGATGATGCTGCTAGGATACATGAGAGTTTACACATCTTCCCAGTTATTTCTGGAGAGAATGTGGAGCGTATTTACAGATACTTGTGTGTCTGACTTCAATGTTTCAGCTGGAATTTTGTCAGATCCTGCTGCTTTCCCACTCGTGATTAGTCTGATGGCCATCCTGATTCCTTCGATTGTTGATGGAGTAACATCTATAGGAAGGTTTGTAGGTGCTGCTTCAATGTCCGGCGGATTCAATGGAGCCGGATTATTCAAGAGATCTTCAAAGTGTTCTACCCATCTGTTCCCCTGTCCTTGAATTTCGGTGATTGGCTTTCCCTCTTTTTCCTTGACTGATCTCTGATTTACAATAGTTCCCTGTCAGTTTCTTCGTTGTGTCATGTAGTTGTTTCATATTTCCTTCTGTTACAGCTTTTCCCACTGTCGTTGCTAGCTCTTCCACATATTTCTATTTGTCAGCTCTAATGCTGTTCTTCGCTTGCTTGTTTGCTTCTGTGTATCCAGTTTGTGCGTTGACTTTCTCTGTTCTTGTTCTACTGTTGTTAATTGCTGTCTCCTTGTTCTTCCTTTCTTGAATCTTGGCGAGGGTTTCAATGGAGATCCATTCCTTATGATAATGATTGTTGCGGCCGAGCACCTCGTGACACGTTGAAGTTAGTGCTTCTTTGACCCCTTTCCACTTGTCCACCATAGCAGTTTCTTATTCTTTCAGTAGATCTTGTCAGGCTTGAAACCTGTTGTTGAGAGTTATATTGAATTCGTTGATTTTGTCAGTATGTCGAAGGAAGACTGTATTGAACCTTTGTAATGCTGTTTCTCCAGTTTTCCACTGCTTCTCCAATTTCAGTTTCATCTTGGCGACCACCAGGTGGTGATCTGAAGTTTTGTCAACTCGTCTCCTAGTCCTCACATCTTCCACTGACCTTCTGAATATTTTAGTGATGCAAACATGATCTGTCTGGTTCTCCGTGATGTGATTTGGTGAG